TTGGGTCTGGACCCTTCTTCAGAAATGGGGGAGGGGAAGGGGAAGGGTCTAGACCCGAAACGCCAGCCTTTCTGCTCCTCTGATGCTGCTTGGCCTGCTGCGTTCATCCAGCCCTGCACCTTGTTGTCTCTCATTAAAACGACCAAACTCTGCAATTAACAGTGAAATAAAACAGAAAATAGAAGTGCGAATGAAGATCTGAAACAGAAACAAAACTTGTTGGAGAAACTCAGCAGGTCTGGCGGCATCTGCAGAGAGAAAGAGTTAACGTTTCAAGTCCGGTGAGCCTTGTTCAGATCTGGCACGCACTGCCCCAAAAACCAATGGAAAGCAGGTTGTAAAGAAACTTTTAAATGGAAGTTACTTTATAGGAAATAATTTGCACACCAGTTAAGAGAAAAAGGGAGTGAAACTTGTTTGATAGCCCTTTTTAAGAGGCAGAACAAGGGGTGGTGTGAATCAGCTCCTTCTGTGCTTTTGTAGTTGTAGGATATTCTACACTGGTTGGGACAAATAAATCAGTCCTCAACAATCCATTTGTGTTCAATGTTTAAAATACAGTTGGATAATGTTAGCTGTCACAAAGACAGCTAAAACTTCTAATTTTCAGAAAAACTTAATGTTATCATCCATTCTATTCAGTCTTGGTATCGAGGTATAATCATGAGTTGTCTTTATTAAATTCATAGAAAGGATTAATTTAGTTGTCATAATCTGCTGTTCTTTGATTTGAGGATGATGCTTACTCAAGGTTGCAGGTTTTTGTCATGAATCTTGGGTGAGACCGAACAGGCCAATTCTGATGTTTGGGTACAGAGCAAGATGTACCACAGTAACGGAAGCACAGTTTCAGGATTTGCTCCCTTTTCTGTCATTCTCTGCCTTCAGTGTGTGTCATCGTGGCAGCATTTGGACTCACTTTCCTCTTAACCTAAGTTGTAAGACCAGAAGTAGGCCATTCAGCCCATTGGGTCCATTCCACCAATCAATGAAATCATGATTGATCCGATAATCTTTAACTCCACTTTCTTGTCTTCTAGCCATAAATCTAGATGCCCCTTATGATTATAAAGCCGTCTCTCTCAGCCTTGATATATTTCGTGAAACATCTTCTACAGCACTGTGTGATAAAGAATTCCATTGATGCATTATCCTCCAAGAAAAAATCCTCATGTGCTAAATGGGCAAATCCTTACTCTCAAATCTTGTGCTGTATTCATAGAGTCCCTTATTAAGGGGAAACAATCACTCAGCATCTAGTCTGTCATCTCCTAAGATTCTTGAGTTTCAATGAGGTCTCCCCTCAATTTTCTACACCCAATAAGTATAAGCCCAACCTACTTAACCTCTCCTCAAAATCCCTCTACCCCAGCATCAAGTCGATCTTCTCTGGACTACCTCCACTGTCAGTATATCTTTCCTCAGATAAAAGACCCAAAACTGTTCACAGTATTCCAGCTATAGTCTGATGAGGTCAGAAATGGGGATGTTTGCCGATGACCAAACACAAAAATTACACCTTTTTTCCCTTTGAAATAAAAGTCACCACTACATTCACATTCCCTCTTCCCATTAGAAACTGGATGCTATCATTTTGAGATTCATGCACTAGGACCCCGAATCCCTTCCACGCTGAACTTCCTCTTGTCTTTCACTATTTTTCAAATATTCAGCTCTATTTTTCCTGCCAAAATGTATAACCTTACATTTCCTCACATTATATTTCACTGTCCTGTTTCTGACCACTAACTAGGGAACCAACAAGAGGGAAAAACATACTTGATCTCATCTTTACTAATCTGCCAACTGCAGTTGCGTCTCTCCATGACAGTATCGGTAAGAGTGACCATTGCACAGTCCTTGTGGAGACAAAGTCCCACCTTCACACTGAGAACAACCTCCATCATGTTGTGTGGCACTATTACCATTCTAAATAGGACAGACTTCGCACAGATCTAGCAACTCAAGACTGGGCATCCATGAGGCACTGCGGGCCATCAACAGCAGCAGAATTGTACTCCAGCGCAATCTGTAACCTCATGGCCTGGCATATCCCCCACTCAACCATTACTATCAAGCCAGGGGATCAACCCTGGTTCAATGAAGAGTGCAGGAGGGCATGCCAGGAGCAGCACCAGGCATACCTCATCTTAAGGTATCAACCTGGTGAAGCTTGCATGCCAAACAGCAAAAGCAGCAAGTGATAGACAGAGCTAAGCGATCCCACAACCAATGGATCAGATCTAAGCTCTGCAGTCCTGCCACATCCAGTCGTGAATGGTGGTGAACAATTAGACAACTCACTGGAGGAGGAGGCTCCACAAATATCCCCATCCTCAATGATGGAAGAGCTCAGCACATCAGTGCGAAAGATAAGGCTGAAGCATTTGCAGCAATCTTCAGCCAGAAGTGCTGACTGGATGATCCATCTTGGCTTCCTCCAGTGGTCCCCAGCATCACAGATACCAGTCATCAGCCAATTCGATTCACTCCACATGACATCAAGAAATGGTTAGAGATACTGGATACTGCAAAGGCTACGGGCCCTGACAACATTCCAGAAATAGTACTGAAGACTTGTGCTCCAGAACTTGCCTCTCCCCTTGCTAAGCTGTTCCAGTACAGTTACAACACTGGTATCTACCCGACAATGTGAAAAATTGCCCAGGTATGTCCTGTACACAAAAAGTGGGACAAATGCAACCCGGCCAATTACCGCCCCATCAGTCTACTCTCGATCATCAGTAAAGTGATGGAAGGTGTCATCAACAGTGCTATCAAGCAGCACCTGCTCAGTGATGCCCAGTTTGGGTTCTGCCAGGGCCACTCAGCTCCTGATCTCATTACAGCCTCGGTTCAGACATGGACAAAAGAGCCGAATTCCAGAAGTGAGGTGAGAGTGACAGCCCTTGATATCAAGGCTGCATTCGACTGAGTGTAGGCATCAAGGAGCTCTAGCAAAACTGGAATCAATGAGTATCAGGGGGCAAACGCTCTGCTGGTTAGAGTCATTCCTGACACATAGGAAAACAGTCATGGTTGTGGGAGGTCAATCATCTCAGGTCCAGGACATCTCTGCAGGAGTTCCTCAGGGTAGTGTCCTAGGCCCAACCAACTTCAGCTGCTTCATCAATGACCTTCTCTCCATCATAAGGTCAGAAGTGGGAATGTTCACCGATGACTGCACAATGTTCAGCACTATTTGTGACTCCTCAGATACTGAAGCAGTCCATGTTCACACGCAACAAGATCTGGACGATATCCAGGCTTGGGCTGACAAGTGGCATGTGACATTCACGCCACACAAATACCAGGCTATGACCATCACCAACGAGGGATAATCTAAGCACCATCCCTTGATATTCAATGGTGTTACTGTCACTGAATCCCCACTATCAACATCCTGGGGGTTACCATCGACCAGAAACTCAACTGCACTCACCACATTAACACAGTTGCTACAAGAGCAGGCCAGAAGCTAAGAATACTGCAGCAAGTAACTCACCTTCTGACTCCTCAAAGCCTGACCGCCATCTACAAGGCACAAGTCAGGAGTGTGATGGAATACTCCCCACTTGCCTGGATGAGTGCAGCCCCAACAACACTCAAGAAACTGGACACCATCCGGTGCAAAGCAGCCCCCGCTTGATTAGCACCACATCCACAAACATTCACTCCCTCCACCACCAATGCTCAGTAACAGAAATGTGTACTATCTACAAGGTGCACTGCAGAAATTCACCAAAGATCCTCAGACAGCACCTTCCAAACCCACAACCACTTCCATCTGGAAGGACAAGGGCACCAGACATATGGGAACACTACCACCTCCAAGTCACTCACTATCCTGATTTGGAAATATATCACCATTTCCTCACTGTCCCAAGATTTTGACCCAGCAATTCCCTCCCTAATTGCATTATGGTCAACCCACAGCAGGAGGTCTGCAGCGGTTCAAGAAGGCAGCTCACTACCACCTTCTCAAGGGCAAATAGGGATGGACAAGAAATGCTGGCCAGCCAGGGATGCCCACATCCCACAAATGAATATTAAAAAAAGCTTGAACTTGTCTATATCTCTCTGTGGCCTCCTTGAGTTATCCTCACTAATTGCCTTCCTGCTCATTTCTGATGCTTGCAAACTTAGCTATAGTGCATTCACGCTTCTTATTTAAATAAATAAATAATTGAACCCTGTGTCATTCCACTAGTTACAGGCTGCCATCATGAATATCCCCCACTTTATACCAACTGTCTGCATATGCTAACAGATCAAGTGTAACACCACAGGCTCGGTGTTAAGTAGCCTTGTATGGTTCCCTATCAAATACCTTTTTGGAAATCCACATCTACTGGTTCTATGTTATCTACCCTGCTTATTACCTCAAAAATCTGTAATAAAATTGTGAGGCATGTTTTTTCCTTCATGCCACCATGCTGACTCAACTTGATTTGTGTGTTTTTAAATGCTTTGCTATTGTATCCTTTATAATAGACTCTCATATTTTCCTAACAGTAGACAGTAACTATACTACAAGCCACCTTCTTTTTGTCTCACTTTTTCAATACGGGTGTTATGTCGGAAGGTTACTACCAGTGCATTCACCATCTCTGCAGCTACTTCCTTTAAAATTGTAGGAGGCATCCCAATAGGTGCTAGGGACTGATCAACCTAAAACCCATTTTATTTCCCTTGTAACTTTTCTCTAGTGGAAGTTATATTGCATATTACCCCCTCCATCTCCTAATTTTTAGCACTTGTAAAGACAAATGTAAAGTATTTGCTTAATTCTTTTGCCATTTCTTGGCTCCCTACTATCATTTCTACAGCCTCATTCTCCAAGGTACCTACATCAATTGTTGCCTCTCTCTTCCTTTTTATATACTTAAAGCAGCTCTCAGGGTCTGTTTATGATACTCGCTAGTTTGCCCTTTGTGTTAATTATCCCTTTTTTGGCATCTTCAGTTTGTTTTTATAACTTTGCCAATCCTCTGATTTACCACTAATTACACGCTTACGTTCAAACTCATCCTGTAAACTCTTTCTCTGTCACACGCGGGGTGTAAGTGATCTCAAATCATTGGTTGGAACAAGCATGTTTTGTAAGGATTCACTATAAATGTAAAATAGACTTTCAGATCATGAATGTTGTTGTTTCAGAACATGAACCAAATTGCAAAACCAGTTTTAAATTCCTTGAATTACAGAAACCCAATTAGAAAGATATATTTTGTGTACTTTAAATATCACTAAATTAAACTCAATTTGTCTACAAAAAAAATTAAAACAATTTTTCACTGAGCTTATGAATAAGATGCAACAGCAAAAGATTTAAATGGCAGCTTCAAATAACACTGATCCTGTCACGCAAAATTCATTCTACAATCCACATCATCTCTTTACATTTCAGTTGATTCTTTGTTTTTAAAAGTATGTACAGAACAGGTGAGGCATATTAAATATACATCATTGGGTATTACTCTTTATGGACACAGAATAGCTGTCACAAGTGTGTACAATGATGCACAAGATAATAAATGCTATTACAATAAAACTCTAAGACAAACTTAATCCACTTTTACAACAAGTCACAGCGCCCAGAGGTCCTTTACTATTTAAACATAGTCCAGGGGATTGGAAAAAATGAAACCTTACATTTATTGCATAATTTAAAACACAAAATGCCTTGTGAACGGTAATACATTACATTAATGAAACAGATATACACTGGCACTGTGTAGAATGACAGATCCAAGACTGGATTTCTCATGGTGCAGTTTTATGGGGGAGATGGATGTGGGAAGACCAGAGGAGACGAGTGGGTGAGAAGATATAAGGAGAGGCAAATGAGCTGATTAACCTGCAGAAGTTGTAGCCATCACATATTTCAGCTACGCTTACAGGGTCCTGCTAACACGGTGAAGTAATAGTATCTGAGATGCTGAATGAGAGTGAAGTTGCAGAATACTATTCTAGTTAAGGACTGAAGATCAGGGAAATTATTACATTCAAAACCAAAATAAAACATGAGATCTGACTGAAGTTTGCAGCAGAAATGCAATTTCTAAATATGTGAATCAGACTTCAAGACTGAAATATAATTTGAGAATAATTTATGTATACTTAAGATGAAATGCAGTTATGTGCAATGTTAAAAAATAGGTATTAGTAACAAATTAATCTAAGCTGATTGCTGAATCTATCCAAAGTGTAATTACTGACAGTTAGAGGAACAGGTCTATTCAATAAAGTAATTTTTTGGAGATCAGATATCTAGTGAGTGCAAAAACAATATTTTACTATACAATAATTCCAGCATGGTCTCACAAAGGCAAATATTTTGTGGACCCACCATAGCTTACAAATTAATTCCTTTCCTAAATAAAATGTTGCATCCTCCGTTGTCACCTTTGTGCCAATGCAAAGTGCTTTGCGGTACTGATCACTGCAGCAGTACTATAACTGGAAGATTACTGAGCAAGGCAACATGCTGGAGGAGCAAGATCCCACCAGGCTTCCATAGAGTCTGCAGCAATGTAGCTAGACTCTGTTCAGTGGGACGATGTAGATTGAAATCAGCAGAGAAGAGCAACTTAAATCTGCAGCATCTTTCTCCTTCCTCATTCAGCTGTCTTAGAACTCAAAATTCGATGAAATGCTTTGGATTTAATTTCCTTCTTAAACGATGCCTGGGTAACATCCATCAGCTGAGATCACAGAAATGTTCTGAAGATTGTACACATTCCAGAGGTTGCAGCAAAGGTCAGCCAAATGCGAATGATGGTTTGAGGAAGGGCCTTTGGCTGATGTTGCTGCGAGGAACAGGTAGCGGCATTACCCCAGGTCGCCTGTTACCTGTGGCTGGTCTGGGGTTGAAATGTTTTGAAGTTGTTGCAAACTTTGTGTCAGAGCTACATTAAAACAAATAAGAACAATCATTATATAGACCTACCCTACGTCAACAGAATAGACTTAAATATATTCATAAAGGAATAATATACAACATTGTCCAGATAACAATAAGTTGATGCACTGTAAGTTAACTCAGGTGGATGAAAAAGATTCCAAGGCAATATTCAAAGAGGAGTAAGGAATTCTGCTGGCACCCTGGAAAACATCTGATCCTCGCAAAAAAATCACTAGTCATTCATAACACACATCTACACATGCACACTCATCCGCTTACACACAGGTAAACATATCCATGCACACCCCCACCCAGACACACACATGCAACTACCCATATACACAAGCCCTCCACACCGCACATGAAGACACAGACACACATTCTTTATCTCAATTCCAACTCGGCTCACTCCTCTTCCAGTGTCATACTGTTAGAAGGTCAGTACTGAGAGTCCTGCGCTGATAGAAGGTCAGAACTGAGGGAGCACTACACTGTCGGACAGTCATTATTGAAGGGGTGCAACAGTACTGGAATTTCAGAAATGAAGAGGCGTGGCAGTGTTGGGTCAGTACTAAGGGAGAGGTACACTGTTGGAGGATCAGTGTGAAGGGAATACTGCATTGTCAGAGCATTAGTACCGATGGCATTTAGATAGACACATGAACAGACAGGGAATGGAGGGATACAGACTATGTGCAGGCAGGTGGGATTAGTTTAGAATGGCATCATGGTGACCAAAGGGCCTGTTCCTGCGCTGTACTGTTCAATGTTCGATCTCAGTTGCTGGTTTTGGGCTTTAACTGCATTTTGCTGCATCATGGTGTGTAGGAGCAGGAAGAGGCCACTCAATCCCTTGAACCTGTATCACCATTCAATGAGATAATGACTGATTTACATCCTAACTCAATTCACCTGCTCTTGGATCTGTAACCCTTAATACATTTGTCTAACAAAGATTTATCAAACTTTTTTTTAACGTGTACAACTGATATGCAGTCGAGAACAGCTTTTTGGTGAAAAATGTCTGGACTTTAGATCCCATGTGTGAGGAAGTGCTTCCTGACATCACCCTAGAACAGCCTGGCTCTAACATTAAGGTTCAGCCTCTTGATGTGCACTCTCCCTGCCACCACTAGAGGAAATAGTCTCTCTCTGTTTTCTTTATCTAATCCTTCAAACATGTCAATCTCATCGCCCCTCAACTTTCTACACTGAAGCGAATAAAAGTCTGACCTTTGGAACCAGCTCTCATTATTTAATCCTTTTAGCTCTGGTGTCATTCTGGTGGATCTGCATTGCACTCCCTCTGTGGCCAACAATATTTTCCTGTGACAACAAGGTGCAGGGCTGGATGAACACAGCAGGCCAAGCAGCATCATAGGAGCAGAGAGGCTGACGTTTCGGGCCTAGACCCTTCATCAGAAAAGCTTCCTTAGAAGAGGCTTCGCAGTGGGGTTAAAATTGAATCAGAGATAGTAGGAACTGCAGATACTGGAGAACAACAAGGTGCAGGGCTGGATGTTTTCCTGTGCTGCCCAGATCTGACTGATGAGATTATAACATTGTGCAGTAGAATTTATTTTCTTTATTCATTCACAAGATGTGGGCGTTGGCCAGCATTTATTACCCATCCCCAGAAATATATGTTTTTGCCCGGATGTTGCTTTTATAAAGCACATCCAAATTCAGAATGTTGTGAAATGGCGCCCTCCAGTGGCTATTTTGGTACAATACAGATTAGCGCACAACGGACTCAAGGTCCCAGGTTGAGGCCTGGTCAACTGGGAGCAGAGAAGATAGCCCCAGCACCCCTAAACTGTGCCTAGGAATACGAAAGCAGTGATTGTGATCTTGTTGTTTGTTTCGAAAATATGTCCTGTTCATACTATTACTCTGGGTGAAGTGGCCCGGTCACCAGAGCAGGAATAAGTTTGGAAAGAGAGGGACGAGAAAATTAAAGAAATAAGGGTTATGTGGCAAAGGTTTGACTTTTATACATCCGGCCATTCCAGTTTTGAGGCAATGGGAATGAAAGATCAGGAGGACAATTACACAATCTTCGGGAGTTGAATTCGGGTACAAACGTGAATGGGCCCACCTGTGGCTGTGGAACTAAAACACTCACCACCACTCAGCACAGAAAATGCAAACAACACAAAATTTCAAACATATAACGGGAGTCGTGAACTCATTGAATGGTGGAGCACACTCAATGGGCTGAATGACCTACTACTGCCTACATCTAATGATCTAAATCACTTCTGCCCTCCTTCTTATCACTGCCATTCTTCCTTGATCTTCCAGCCCCTTCCTCAATTCACCAGCTTAAAAACTCTAATTTTAATTTCTTTTTAATTCTAATGAACGGTCACTACCCTGAAATGATAACTCTGTTTTTCTCTCCCTAGACCGCTAGCCAGTTGTTTTGTAAAATCTCATTTCAGATTTCCAACATCAGCAGCATTTTACTGCTCTATAAATTGTCTTCCTTTAATTCATTCATGGGATGTGAGCGTTGCGGCTGGGCCTGTATTTCTTGCCCATCCCTAGCTGCCCTTGAGAAGGTGGTGGTGAGCTGCCTTCTTGAACCTCTGCCATCTATTTATGAGAGTACACCCACCGTTCTGTTCGGGAGGGAGATCCAGGGTTTTCACCCAAAGACATTGGAGGAACATTGAAATTTGATGTTCTTGTATTTGTCCTGATGAGTGTGAGATAAAATGTTTTCAAAAATATGTGTAAATGTTCAGGTGGAGATTCTTCTGGACAATAAACTAGATATGCAGAATAGCTTTCATCAGCTGCGATTAACTCGAGATCATGCATCTACCATTCTCTTGGTTTATTCCCTGATGGACAGATTGTGGAAAAGCTTTTATCTTCTCCTGACATTAATGATATTTTCTGTGGCATTTCTGTTTTTCAAATCCATCAACAAATCTCCAAACTCTACAGCCCTAGGCACTTTCATTAATAATATTTTACGAGTCAGAGGTCACAAGGGAAGGAATTTCTTCAGTTTACATTTTGCCAATTTAGTTTGGAATCACGGATGGTTTATCAACCTGGAGAGCTCTGATTTGCCTCAGTCACATACAGTGTGTTGACACTCATCATCTGACAATACCTGGGTCTTTTATGATTGAAACTTCCCCTTTACAGTTAGAGACAGATCCTGAAAGGGTGACATCATGCGATTGCAGAAGATCATTGAGACCGTTAACAAACCAGGATCTGAGGGACGGGAATTCCTTAGGGAACCACAATGAACATGTCAACAGAAGGCATCTGGAGTTTATGAGAAGGGATTTCTAAGTGTCAGTTGCGAATGTTAGACTTAGAATGCAGTGAACCTCTGAACAAACTTCCCATTGCTCAGGAACATTTGTCCCTGAACACATTGCTTTAGAATAGGAATATAAATTGGTCAGACTTTAACACTGAATTACTCACTATGCAAGTTTATTCTAACATTAACCTGTGCAAACCTGAGCTCATCCAAAACTTGCTGTCACTGTCTTAACTAGGATCAAGTCCCAGTCACCCATTACTCCCTGCCCTCACCATCCTCATCAACTGGCAGCATCTCCATTTTAAATGTCTCATCCTTGTTTTGAAAAACATATGGAATAAGATTGGAGGGCGAGATTATGATTGTCGTTCATCTCAATGTTGAGCTGAGTAGAAGTTGAGTTGAAAGCTAAGATGTTACACCTTTTTACGGCCTTTTGGCCACATCATCAAGTTCAACTCCGTCAGATCACGACTTCTGATTCCATTTTGCTCTTTGTGTTTTGTTTCCTTCCCCCTTCAATTGACTTTTTTTAAAATCACGTTTCCTTCTTTATCCCTTCATGTTGCATTCCGATGGATTTTGTGGCAATTGGCATCCCAATGGACATAATCTTGCATTACCCCTCGTTACGGCTGTTGTATCATGAAATCTTTTGTTGTTTATCACCAAGATCATAGAAAACAAGAATCCCTAGAACCACACTCCCCCATTCAAATATCAAACCATTCTTAACAACAACTGCAATGGTCTCTATTCAAAACCTCCAAACCTTTCCTTTTTCAGGTACTGTGCATGACTTTAATGTACTTCAAACAGATAACAGTATCTCACACATACACAGCTGATAAGACACTATATTTAACAACAGAAGTAGGTTGTGGAGTAAGGAATAATGATCTGCAACAGGATGCAAACCTTTTTGAAGACTGCTGGTTGTTGTATCCAGTTTTCCTTCTCTTTGTCTTTTTGTAATAGGACCCTTTTTTCCGTTTTCTGTTGTTGGTATTTTTGCTTTTATTGAAGTACACCGAGGTTTCCCCACACTGCTCCTCCTCACCCTGGGATTTTCCGCAGTCTATCCAACTGTCGGAAGGTCTTGTTTCAAATGCTTCCTCCTCTGTAATCACATTGGGAAATAGGAGAGAAGATATTGAAAAAGACCAAACATCACCAACATAATCTCTTCCACTCAACAGGACCAGGAACTCAATCTCCCATCTGCCTTAAATTCAAGTGCATCCAAAACTCTGTGCTGCCTAGATACAAACCTGTACGACCTATCACCATCACCCTCCCTAGTGTGCACTGACCTACAATGGCTCCCAGTATGGTAATGCCTCAACTTTAAATATTCTCATCCTTACTTACAAATACCGCCCATCTTCGTGACATCTTCCAGCCCTACAACTTATCAAAAAATTCTCCAATTCTGGCCTCTTGCAAATCTCCAATTTTGATTATTGCCATGGTCTTCAGCTACTTAGGTTCTAAGACCTCTCACCTCTTTTAAGAAAAAGTTTAAAAGTCACCTTTTTGACCAATCTTTTGGTCACCTGCCTGAATATCCCAATCATTTTTTGACTGATTACATTTCTAAGAAGCATCTTGGAATGTTTCACAACATTAAAGGTGTATAATAAACGCAAGTTGTGACTCTTGCTGGAAGGGAGTGGGTTGAGAAAATCAACATATCTTTCTGCACAGTCTTATCTCCTTCATAAACAAAAACAAAAATTTCTGGAAAAGCTCAGCAAGTCTAGTAGCATCTGTAAACAGAAATCAGAGTTAATGTTTTGGGTCCAGCGACCCTTCCGCAGAACAGAATCTGAAACATTAACTCTGATTTCTCTCCACAGATGCTGCCAGACCTGCTGAGCCTTTCTAGCAACTTCTGTTTTTGTATCCAATTTCCAGCATCTGTAATACTTTCGGTTCCTATCTACTTCATTTTTATCAATTCTGTTTGTTTCAGTTACTCAGTGGTAGCGAAGTCTACATTGTCATCACTCTATAGTTGAATAATTTTCTCATGAATAGCTTATTGGATTTATTAGTGAATATCTTTTATGTATGATCCCTGGTTTTAGACGCCTCCACGGGTGGAAATAATTTCTCTATGTCTATTCTATTCAATCATATTACAATCTCAATGATAAAATCAAGTCACACTGAGAAAGGAATACATCCTGTTTAGTTTATCCTGATGATTATAATCTTATATCTGTGTGTCATCCTTGTGAATCTCTAGCATCTTAAGTCTTTTTCTTTGTATTCATTCATGGGAATGTGGGTGTCACTGAATAAGTCAGCATTTATTGCCCATTCCTAATTGTCCCGGTGAAGATGGTGAGCTGCTTCCTTAGGGTGTAGAGACACCCACTGTGCTGTTATAGCACAGACTAGATGCTCAGAATGGTAAAACTCAACTTCCTTGCTTTTCAATTGTATCCCTCAATAAATACATTTGCGTGTTTGGTTTGCTTTTGTTTTTAAAATGGCCTTGTCATGCTGCATTGTGACTTTGTGAACTTACATACCTGTAAAAGTGGAGTCCTTTGTAACAGTACAAAACCTTATTATTCCTCTCCAAATAAAACCTCAGCTGGACTGAAATTAGTTTAGCGATTAAGTACATTGTGCAACTTTATCAATGTCTTCTTGCATTTGAGGAGGGGGTAACGAAGCACCCTACTTTCTATTAAAGATTCTTTATACATAAGTGGGAGAGACTTGTCTTTACCTGGCAACTGCCATTCAGAGTACTTCTGGAGAACCTCGACAAGTTCACCTCCATATTTATCCAACTTGTCTTCGGTGACTCCATCAATCTGCAGAAGGACTTCAGGATCTGAAGACAGCGACTCTGTAGAAAACAAATTTAACATGTTAACATCCTTTACGTGTATGGGCACAGGAAACAGGGACCTGAGTAGGCTATTAGGACCCTCAAGTTTGCTTTACTATTCAATACAATCATGGCTGACCAGGTTGTGCTTCAAAGCCAGCCTAAGTACTAATAAGCTCAAAAGCAGCTGGGATCTTTGTGCTGAACCAATTGCCTGGAAAATAGGAACTACGCATTTTCCTGTCAGGATTGCAACTCACATGAATGTTAATAATTTTCTTCCAATTATTTTTTACTTTGTTTCAGTTGCAGCTTCAACTTAGCCATTTTCTTACATAAAAATAAACAGGAGGTTTGACTGCTGTTTTGTGAAAGTGCATGAGAACAAACTAATCATTCAGATCAATGTTAAGAACAGACCCTGCCCTGTCATAAAATACAACTTTTTGAATGCATGATGAATATTCAACCAACATTCAGAGAAATATGAACGTGAAGGGCTTTTATATTGAGTTGCAGGACATTCAATCTGCTGAATGTCAGTACTGTCTCATTATCTCTTAAAACATAGATTATTGTGACAATGGAAAAGAATTGACCACAAAATCCAAGCCGATACTCCCACTTTGTATTTGTCATTGCATGCAATGAGGCAGCACCACAAGGCCAGCACTGGTTCCCTATCACTAATTGATATTGAATTCAGCAGTTTGTTAGGCCTTTACAAAGAGCAGTTAAGAGTTAAGATTCTCATTGCCGTGGGTCTGAATTTGCATGTAGACCTGACCTGGATGGCAGATTTCCCTAAAGGACATGAGTGAATCACATGGGTTTTTACAACAATTAATGATGGTTTTGTGGTCACCATCACAGATGCTGGCTTTCAATTCTAGAACTTATTAATTGAATAATCAATACATGCAATTGCTGTGATGGGATTTGAACCAATATCTTCAGAACATCTGCCCGGGCCTCTGGTTTACTATCCCAGTGACAGTATCGTTATGCCAATATCTTCCTCCTGGATCGTGGTTCTAAAAAAATGTATATTTATGTCGCATTTTTCACAGTCATAGAACATCCCAAATTGCTGTACAGCCAGTAAAATATTTTTGAAACACAGTCACCATTGTAATGTAACAAATACAGCAGCCACATTGTATACAGCAAGCTTCCACAAGAGCAACATAACAATGACCAGGTCGTTGTGACACTAATTCTGGTTAGTACAGCAGGAATAACTGCCCAAGCTGCTTTTCTTTGAAACACTGCCACAGAATTGGAGAAGGCAGACAGCACCTCGGTTTAACATATTATAAAATATTCTCTCAGTCCCACACTGTTGTGTCAGCCTGGAGTGGGGCCTGAACCACAAACTCTGACTCTGAAGTGACAATGATGTCTCTTGAACCATAGCTGACTCACTGAGGAATTTACTCAATCAGGTAGCTGTAAAGGATCCTAAGGTATTATCTTGAAGATAGGAGAGTTTTTCCTGGTGCCCTAGCCCCTTGTACATTCCACAATCAATGCTGCTTTTTGGCTGTTAACACCTTCCTTTGCATGGGCACTAGCTGTGTTTAATTTGTTGCCATGTCTCCTTGGACAGTAACTAAGCTTCAAGATGTGCTGCACTGGCTGTAAAATGCTGAATCAGAGACTGACGTGGTGAAACGTACCACACAAATACAAATCTTTATTATTCTTTCATCAGACCCCTCATCAGGAATTGCACTGAACTGTAGGAGATTTACAGGCACAATGTATTTCCAGGTGGTAGTAAAATCCTGGTCAAGTTCATAATACTGTGATCCCAAAAGAAGTATCTTTGCTTTCTCTAATGAGTCACGTCAGTTATTAGTTTTTCAAATATACCTGCAATCCTTTTGATGGTGGCAGTGTTAAAAATGTTAAAGTAATGGACACCAAAGGTTTTGCCCAGTTTCTTGCAGAGCTCAGTAAGATCAGTAAGACACTGCTTAACCATCTCCTCCCGTTTAGAAACATTCTTTGCCATCAAATTCCTCTGTTTCCTGATGCTGCTGGCATTATCGGTCTCCTGAAAGTCCACCTACGATTAGAGTACAAATTCCTCGCAGTTAACCAGTGTCAAGGCTTTTTCGTCAATAAATTAGAGTGGAAATGTCTAATACTAGGCGGCATGCATTTAAGGTGAGGGGGGATAGTTAAAGTAGATGTGAGGGTCAGGTTTTTTGTTTTACACAGAGTGGTAGAAGTCTGGAACACACTGCCATCTCGGAGACAGATACAATAAGGGCATTTAGTGGACTTTTAGATAAGCACATGAATATGTAAGGCATGAAGGGATATGGACCAAGACAAGCAGAAGGGATTAGTTTAATTTGGCACAACATCATGGGCCAAAGGGTCCATTCCTGTGCTGTTCTATGGTCTAAATTACTTCTTGGGACATAATAGGGTGGCCAAACACAAATGTGAATGTAAATGTCAACGGAGGAGACTGAACACATGAATTTGAGATAAAAATTAACATGGAGAAAACAGAGTTAACATTTCGGGTCCTGTGAGGAAGGTTCTGAGGAAGGGTCACCGGACCCGAAACGTTAACTCTGTTTTCTCCTTCACAGATGCTGCCAGACCTGCTGAGCTTTTCCAACAACTTTGTTTTTGTTCCTGATTTATAGCATCTGCAGTTCTTTCGGTTTTTATAAAAATTAACATACCTGGAGCAAACCCATCAGAACTTGTTGAGCTTTCTCTCCAGCAGTTACATAAGCAACTGCTTGGTCATTGGCCGTGATGTACAAATCCTCACGCAGAATTTTATCCAGCACCAACTTTCGAAACAGGCGTTCTACATTGTGACGGGAATAGGCAGCTCCTGCTCCAAATATACCAGATTGGATCCTGGCATTTTTGCAACCTAGTGGGCAAGTTCAGTTAGCTTTCAGCATATTTGAGAGAATAAATTCGAACGCAGCCTTTCAGAAAGGATTTACAACTGACCATGTCTCTTGAAAAGATCTAACAGTGTGGCAGATTCAGGGAAAGAAAGGGAATGCCCACATAATTCAGAACTACAGCCCCACATTGAGTTTTTGACAAAGTGGTTTGAAAGTTAATGTTTGCTCCTCCTCATGCCACTAATCCCATCTCCTCACAGTATTGCCTTACGAAGAAGAAAACTTGCATTTATACAGCAACTTTGTTGAAAGCAGAGTTCTTTTTTAATTAATATTACAAGAGTAATAATGATGCCACCTTAGCAATGATAATTTGGTGTTCTAATACCGTCTCTCTCCATCATGACACACTCAACCAGTCAGAGAGTTCCCTGTAAATAATCTACACTCACCGAGGAAGATATCGACCAGCATGTTTAAAGTGAGCCTGCTGGATGGCTGGCCTGCATTGTGTATTCTTCTATTGGCACTAGCACAGTGCTCTTGAGCAAATCGCACAATGTTCTTCACTTCATCCGTGACATTCCTGATCTTGTAATTCTACCGAAAAGGAGATAGGAGGGTTATTTTTGTAAAAAAAGTAACTAACTAACATTTCAGGATAGGAACAGTGTAACTAGTATTTCAACTGAACTTACTTTCTTCTTGAGGCAATTGTCACAAGCCACTTCTGGGTGTTCTTTGCAAAATTGGGGATTAAAGCCATTTTCCCCAAAGTATGCCAGCAACTGTATCCTGCGGCATTCCACCACATTCTCACAATAATGGACCATGTTGTATAGATTGTTGAAGTGGGTCTGTTTGGTGAATTGGTTCCCGTCCTTCTCCACTGTAGTAATCAGGGCACTTTGTTAGATTATTTTAACAGAAATTACAACACTGCATCAAGGAGACAATGACTTGGAATTTGCTAAAGGTGCAGAATCTCACAGTTTATTCTATTTATTGAAGCTTTTCACTCATTCTTCAACTCAAACAACATGTGCTCCACAAATTGCTGGAAGTGTAAGATGAAATCAGATAAGCATGAGATCATCAGGACTTCAGTGAATGACAGAATCAATTATCTATCTCCATAACCAATTGAGGTCAAAGAAATAGAGAGGGCAGCGATGGAACTTGGAAGAATTAGAGTCAAATCAGGCAGAGAGAAAAATAAAAAGGGAAAGGAAAATTGGATTGAGGGGAAAAGAAAGGTCAGAAAAGATAAAAACTTCTTTTAAAAAAACTTTTGACTTTAAAAAACCTTGAAAAGCAATTTACACACTGCAGGAATGGGATTCCACTGATTCAATGGCTTTTTTTCTTGCATCATAAATGGGAGACCCCTTATTTTTAAACCACATTCTCTAGTTCTAGAATTCCCATTGAGGGGAAACATCTTCTACACATTCAGTTGCCAAGCTCCCTTGGAATGTTTATGTTTTGATCAGCTCACCTCTCATTTTTTTCAGAATTACAATGAATCCAGGCCCAAACTGCTCCAAATTTCCTCATACGACACATTTTCATCCCATGAACCATTGATGAAACTCATATGAACTACTCCTAAACAAAGTGTTGTCTTCCTTAAACAAGGAGACTAAGCTGTACACTCTAGCCTAAATGTGATAATACCAATGTCTTGCATATTTGCAACAAGACTTTCCCACTTCTACACTCCATCCCTAACACATGGGTAGTCTCATTGGAAAATGGATAGAAAAGAAAGACATGGCATTTTTAAAGTGCCTTTTCAAACGTAAAGTTTTCCCAATGCAATTAAAGCAAAATCACCAGTGTTATGTACACCTGTTACATCTGAAGGCATGATGCCAAATAGAGCATATCCACTCAGGTCCCCGGTGAGATTAGTTCATTCCACATAAACCCAGATTTGAACCTTGGCACTGCATGTCTGAAAGTCAGTGCTAAACGAGTGCCTTGAAGCACTAGGCCAGTGTAGGGAACACAATATGTCATCATTGTCAATCACCAGCTTGCACAAGGAGTCTCAAGGATCGAGTTTAGTCACAATCACAGTAGTATCAAAGGTACAATTCATCTCAGCGCACAGAGATTCTAAGAGACATTTTCCCCATTTGTGGTTAATAATTTTCAGGCAGACTGACGGAATCACACAGCATAAAACACACATTGAGAGGTGAATACAATACTGGACAAAATTTGACTCAGACACGCTGCTGACTTGCTTTAATTATGCTATCCTCTGAGACATCATTCACACTGATTGCTCACTCACTTTGGATAATGCGCCTAATCCTGGTGACATCACTGTAACTGTAGAAAAGGACACAATGGGACGTTTCACCATCCCTCCCAGCACGACCCGACTCCTGGTAGTATCCTTCCATCGACTTGGGCAGTGTGGCATGGATCACATATCGAACATCTGGTTTATCAATACCCATTCCAAAGGCAATGGTGGCACAAATCACCTGGTGGGAACACACAGGTTAAGGATGAGTCTATATAACCTGAGGGGCTGTTCATTCTAACCGCCTTCAATTCTCATCATCATTTTCTTTTACATATTATTCAGCTTAGCAAAATTTGTTAAATTATGAACATAAAATAGGATAAAACAAATTTTACACCAAGTTTCAAAGTTATATCCTCAGCCTCCACAAAAAAATTTATTGCACATGAAGAACTCACTTAAAATAATAATATTATTGGCAACTTAGATTTTGCAGGATTGAAAGACTTCAGCTATATGAAACTGGAGATGCTGGGGTTGTTCTCCTTGGAGATATTCAAAATTAAGGAGTTCTGATGGAGTAAATAAGGAAAAACTATTTCTTGACTAAACAGTAGGCAGGACACACAGATTTGAGGAAATCGGCAGAAGAACCAGAGGGAAGGTGAGGAGAATTATTTTTATACAGCAAGTTATAATCTGGAACTACTGCCCGAAACGGCAATATAAACAGATTTTATGGTAACTTTCAAAAGGGATTTTTTTAAAAAAATGGTTGCAGGAATTGAATTAATTAGTCAACTGTCTCATAGGTCCAGCAGAAACACAGTATGCTGAATAGCCTCCTCCAATCTGCTCCATTCTATTTAGTCAGAGAAGACAAGGTTGAGAAGTGATCTGATAGAGATGTTCAAAATCATGACCGGCATGGACAGTCAGACAGAGAGAAACTGTTACCATTCGTAGGCGGATTGAGCTACGGAAGATATCGTGCACGAAGAACCAAACCCACCGATCAAGGAAGATAACTGTACCTGAGTTTTAAGGGCTCCTTACCTGGCAGTCTTCCTGATTAATCCACTTGTTTTGTATCAGATCCCTGTCGGAATCCTGAAGGCCAGCATGATAGGCCAGTGCGGCTATTCCATTTCTCTTCAGTGTTTCAGCCACTGTGTCACATTCATGCCGTGACAAACAGTAAATAATGCCCGAGTCGCCTGTTAATGATGGAAATGGGGAGTTAGTGCAGCATCTTTTAAAAAGATGAAGTCCCTTAGTTTGCTGAGCACCATCAACAAGTGAGGTAAATCAGAAAGTATCCATTATATGACACAAGGATTGACAATCCTCCAAGATTTGATGATAAATCCCAAGGATCATTTTTAAGACTAAACGCTTGACCAAGAAGCCAGGAGTCTTAGTGGGAATGTCACCGAATGTTAAACAGCAATATTCTTGCAAGGCTGCATTTGAAAACATTTCTGCATGCTGTGCTTGACAGTTTCCACCTTAAGCTGATTGGCTCAGGTTCAGCCTTGACTAGGGTTATCAACTCTCCAGGGCTGGCCTGGAGTCTCCAGAACTTGTCAGCCTCCTGCTGTCCATAAAATCCAGATGCAAAGTCATACAAAAAAGAGGTCATGTTGTTTCCATTTTCTGTCTATTGTTACAATAATATTGGAAATAAGTAACCACGTCTAGAATCATTCAAGTAGGTTTTGTTTCCTATTAAAATGGAAGGTGGAGCTATATGAAAATGGCTTGGTAGAGTGACCAATGGAGAGAGGGTGGGGGCACAGCAACATAAGGATGAACTGGTTATGCAAACAATAGTGGAAATCTGGAGGAGGGGTGGATGGAGACTGGTGGTGATGTGATATAACCCTCAAGAATACATTCAACCAAAGGTTAACAACTCTCCATAACATCAAGTTTGAGTTTTAAACACTTGGTAATTGTGGAAATAAAAATTAGATTAAGATTCCCAAGGTTTTGTGATTATACATTGGGAACCACGTCAACATACCACAATGCACAGGAGGGGTACAGCAGAATGCAAACCATATTTTTGTCAACATCACAATGATTATTGTGCTTCAAAGAAACTCATTTGTGCACAGTGGTGAGAAACAGGTTTGGTTCATCATTACATTATCAACTTAGAACACATTCCTCTGCCCAGTTCAGTAAAAAGTGATTTTACTTACAAACTTGCAATCGAAATAAAGTTAGTTCTAGCTTTCACAACAGACTCACATTACATTGAAAATTAACGGAAAATCAATAGTAAAGTGACCTATTGTAAAAATATTGACTGAATAATGAATAAGTTTAATATTATAAGAGATACAGAGACAGTACAAGAGAGAGAACGCAATAAAATGAACAAACCTTACAGAGATTGAATTACTGCAAATTACAGCCACTACTTCCACCAGTAAAATATGGTAGTGGATAACTACTTAAACATTTAAACCTCAAACAAAGAAACATTGAAAATAAGAGTAGGTTATTCAGCCCTTCAAGTCTGCTCCACCACTCATTATGATGATGGCTGGCCATCCAATTCAGTACCCTGTTACCACTTTCTCTCCAATCCCTTTAGCCTGAAGAAATATGTCAAACTTCTTCTTGAAAACATACAATGTTTTGGCCATAACGGCTTTCCGCGGCAGAAAATTCCACAGGCTCACCACACTCTGGGTGAAGAAAGCTCTCATCCTATTCCTAAATGGCCTACCCTATATCCTCAAACTGTAACTCCTGGTTCTAGACTCCCCAGTCATTAGGAAATGCTAAAAGGATGTCCCCCTGTTTAGCTCTGTTCAAATTTTATAGGTATCTATGAGATTCCCCCTCCATTCTTCTAAACTCCAGTGAATATAGTCCTATCCAAACCAGTTTCTCTTCATAAGCCAGTCCTGCTATCCCAGGAATCAGTCTGGTAAATTTTCTTTGCAGTGCCTCTGCAGCCTGAATATCCTTCTTCATATAAGGAGACCAAAACTGCGCATAATACTCCCAGCGTGTTCTCACAAAGTCCCTGTACAAGTGCAGCAAGACATACCTGCTCCTGTACTCGAATCTCCTTGCTATGAAATCCCATTTGCCTTCTTCACCTCCTGCTGTCCCTGCATGCTCACTTTCAGCAATTGGTGAACAAAGACACCCAGGTCCCATTTTCCCATAGATGGATGCTAAAAGAGGGATGTTACTGTTTTTAACATTTTCCATGAGATAGTTACCTATGCAAAAGTTGGCAGGTTCCCAACTTTATACAGGCTATGACTATGTTCCCTCCAAAGATGTGACCAGTGATGATCTACTAGATTACTAGATCCAGTACAGCCACGTCAGAGTGTCATGTCACGCATATAAATATTTATCCCTAATTATACAAAACAATTAAATAATCAATAAGTCAGAAATGTTGAGCTTTATACGGGGAGCCAAAGGAGAGGAGTACACTACTCAATTGACGCTTACGTGGATAGTTCCTCTGGATCCAATCAATGCAGTCTTCAGCAATCTTCTTAGGCTTTTTCGGCAGGACCTCATACTTCAAGTTGTGTCTGTTGAAGCTCATGGTGAACCTGCAGAATTTCAACATGAAGCCTCAATACCAGAACTCCATAGAACAGAAGTGATAGCCTACTCTCGCTAGCCTGTACAGAATCCACAGAACTGTAGGAATACTACAGAATGAATAAGCTTGATTGATTGCCCACTTCCCAAAATCAGTTACTTCATTGTGGGACACACAGAACAGAAGCAGGATACTTTATTCATCGAGATGAGGGAGGTATTTGTAGGCTCATAGTACCTTGGCTATTCCTTATGTTAGCAGCCAGATATACTGCTACAGCACGAGATCAAGAGGGGTAAAAAGGCAGCAGCTTACACTTAAATGATACCGGGATTCATTAAATGATAAATGGGATTCAACCCCACATCTCCAATGCATTAAGCTCATTTACTAGCCAGTGAGAATACCATGGTCCAACCATCTCAAGTCTCCTTGAGCAAGATATATTACATTTTACAAAAGTAAAAAAACTGCAGATGCTAGAAACCCAAAGTAGCTGAAAAAAATTGTTAGTTTATGTGGAGGTCATTGACCTGAAACATTAACTCTGTTGTTCTCAGATGCTGTTTGACCTGCTAAGTTTCTCCAGCAACTGTCACTTTTATTTTAAGTTACATTTTAATCTGTTTTCAGTTGGGTCAGTTGAGGCGTAAATATTGGCCAGGGCACTGGGGGAAAATACCTCCACCTTTTCAAATATTGGGATGGGATCTTTAATATTCCCCTGTGTTAGAAAACAAGATTTGGTTAAGTAGCTCTGATAAAAAGACAGCATCCCAATCAGTGCAATGCTCCTGCAATATCAGCTTGTTTTATGAGCTCAACTTCTGCGGTGGAGCTTCAAGGCCACAACCTACTAACTCCAAGGTACAAGTGCCATCACAAGGACTGAGTGCCACTTAGAAGAGGGAAAAAGAATAACATATATCAAATAAATAAAGTTGATTTGAAGGAAAATTGCTTTTCACAATACAGAGGAGCCGGAGATGCAACTCAATGACCCAGGATTACCACTTATCCTCAAATATCATCTCTAAATCTCAGATTATATCACCATTTTCACATTGTTGGTGGGAGCTGGCTATGTGCAAATTGGTTGTCACATGCCCTATGATGGTGACGACATTTCAAAAGGCACTTCATTGGGTGTAAAGTGCTTTGGGATGCCTGGAGATCAGAAAGGTGTTATATAAATCCAAGCCCCTCTCTCTTTACAATTTTTATTGATAAGTGCATGGGAGATATACAGGGAGCAGTAGATAAAATTAAATTTTGATTCAGAGTTAAATCTGGGTCTTAAGAATTGTTGTTGATGATGACTAAACATTTTTGTCCAACTGAAAGAGCATGACATAAACTAATGTACCAATAATTATTAAAATATAACATATTTATAATAGTCCTTTGGCATTGCTTGTAGGACGGCAGAAGATCATGGCTTAGAAGGATGGAAGCATTATACTGCAGAATGATACGATTCTGCTGCTCAGATACAACTGGGCATCATTAGGGCCGAAGGTTCAATTCCTGGAGAGCTGTGTTCGTAGATAGGCAGAGGTTTTCATATCCCTGGTTCCTACCCAATGTCAGAAAAACCATCAGGAAATAACTGTTTCAGCTTTTTCTCTAAAAACTCACCAAAGTGTGAAATCTGAAATGTGACATTTTGAAAAGCGCACAAGTGAATATCTGATCATTGTTAATTAATCTAAACATAATACTCTATCACACCTCTCATCCACCAAGAAAAGAAGGAACATACACTTGAGGCTTCAACATCTTGAGCTGGTTGAGGATATCTTTCTGGACCCTGGGTGTGGCTGTGGCCGTCAGGGCCATCATTGGGATCGAGGGAAACTTGCTCCGAAGCTCATTCAGTCTCTTGTAATCAGGACGGAAATCATGGCCCCACTAAATAGAGATAGAAACAGAAAGAGTTAACTTCCGAAAGACTTCAGAAGTAATTAAGGAATGAGCACATAGAGGTAAGAAAAAAACAAGTCTTCAGTAACATTTACTGCCACCAAGGTGTTAGTAATGAGGGTACAGGGGACAACCAGTTGCAATACTGCAGTCAACATGAGCAATGCTTATAAGTGCATATATAGCAAGGCCTCAGATCACTTTACATAAACTAGGAAAACATAAAGTGAAGCGAAAGAAGAAAGTTAAAAAAAATCGTTACTGCAATGTAGCTACGGAATAATGAATGAAGGAAGAGCTTCTAGTGAGGAAGAGGGAAGGAAGAGACAAAAGTGGGAAAGAAAATTAGGATTCAGTATTCATTTGACCCTTGTACAGCCTGGGGAACAGGCTGGCTGTTCACCTGGTGTGCTGCTAAAATGGATTCCTTCTTCTGGATCTTAATGACAGAGGGTCTCCAAGACCCCTCTACCTCCCAAATGGACATCAAACCCCCATCCACTGGCCCTGTTCATCAAACGTCAACAGATGAGCAGTCAGCACAGAATGACATTTTGCAAGACAGGCTTGTCTTCAGTTGTAGCCACCACTGAGATCTTAATAGGGAGCATCTCCAAGGAAAAGATCTTTTGTTTGTACAAGCCGCTGTGAGCTGTGATATGCATCGTAAACCGCAGCCTACGCTCATTTGGTACTAATTTACAAGATGAATCACGGCTTTGAACAGCAGGTATAATATTGAAAAAGATATTGCTCTCTGCTATTCCTGAGGGTGTTTGTCAGCTGTGTGCATCCACCCACTCAAAACATACTCCTCCTGATGACTGCGGAACTGGAGTCAGTTTAGAAAAACAAGAGGAAGCTCACCACTATCAGTGAAGCATCACATTTTGGGTCCAGTTCTCAGTCTGCACTGAAGTAACTTCTCTCAGCCGGGGTGTTACAAGTATCTTCAACCCCTGGGGAATAGAAATAATGCAGCCTGTATGTCTCTTCCTATTTCTCATTCAGTGATACTTGGATGGGAAATGGGAGTGTGGGCATGCAAACAGTCTCAAGCTTGGTTATCGCACTCATGGTAAGCAAGCATGGACTCAAAGGGAGGAGGCAAGCACTTCAATTAGTGACAAATATGACAGAAAGACCCTTCATTTCACATTCTAGCATGCATGCAACATGCGATACCCAACCTTCCGTGTACGAATAGAAAGAAAATGTACATTTATACGATATTATTAAAAACCTTATTATATTCTGAAGCATTTCACAGCCAGTGAAGTGTGGCACAAACAGCAATGTGCAAATGGCCAGATAATTTCTATTAGTGATCTTGGTTGAGGGATAAATAATAGCAGGACACCAGGCAGAACTCTCTCATTCTTTTTCAGATTCCGGCAGTCTTTTTGATCTATCTAAAGAGCTGTTGACAACTCAGTTCAATGTCTCATCCAAAACTCTAATTGGTGATTGATATTTTATACAACGTAATGGGGCTTGAACCTGATACCTTGTGATCCAGAGTGCCACCAGAGTCAAAGAAGAAATCTAGAAACAGAAGCATCAAGTTACCTGGCTAACGCAGTGAGCCTCGTCGATGACAAAACGAGACAAAAGTTTCCTCTCGTACAAATTTACCAATGCAGCAATCAGTCGGTTACTGGCACTGACCTGAATTAACAAGGAGAATCAAAATTATTAGGCTAGGGAAATGTCACTTAAATGAAAACAGAAATTGTTGGAGAAGCTCAGCAGGTCTAGCAGCATCTGTGGAATGAAATCAGAGTTAATGTTTTGTGTCAAGTGACCAAATTAAAGTTCATTCCAGGATTTGCACATCACTCGGTTCTCTCGTTCCCCAAGAGGATGGTAAACACTTTCTATCTATTGCTGTAGTTGTTTGGTACAACCGTCTAGCCAGCTGGAGCACAGTTAAGAGTCAACCACAATTAAATTATAAATCTGCTAGTGATTCTGGTACTAAAAAACAAACTCTCAATATTTCCACAAACTATGGAACAGGGTCAATACTGAATGATATGTGTTTCCGACAACTCTTGCACATACAACACAGGGATTGCTCCTCTGATGTGGGTATACTTTTCCTCAGCCTCATTGTAAGTAAATTCCTATTTTTTAAGTCACTAAATCATGCTGTCATTGTGTGTGGCTATAAGCATCATTACTAATTTGTTCAGTTATAATATAGTTAGTACTGTGTTCAGCTTTTATTTCCAAAAGGAAAGAGATCTGAGTTTATGATGAAACTTCCATTCAGATGAAATATTTAATCAAAAATGCAGAGGAAACAAAAATGGTTCTAAAACAACACAGAGATAACAAGGTGTAGCACTGGATGAACACAGCAGGCCAAGCAATATCAGAGGAGCAGGAAGGCTGACGTTTCGGGCCTAGACCCTTCTTCAGAAAAACAACACAGAATGTGCTGGTGAAACTCAGCAAGTCTGGCAGCATCTGCAGAGACAGAAATAGATTCAATGTTTGAGTCCAGTATGACTGCTTCAGAACACTTCTATGACATTGTACGCAGCAGTTCGTTTCTCTATCATGTCTATAAAATTAGAAAGCTGTGTTTATACACTTTTCCAATCAACTTTATACATTTGATACGTGGATATAGGAGGGTATAGTGGAAACTCCCAATTTAAGCCTGTCAAACTGTCTCCTCACATACAGCCCACAATCTTAGACTCACCAGAGAGAAAGAGGACAATTTTAGCCAATTAAACCAGAATATCAGGAGGGTCAATAACTCCCTAATCTAATCAAAGCACACATTTAAGGCTCACCTTCTCAGGCGTGCAGTAGAGTAACTTCACAACAGGATCCTTCTTGGACAGCTGCATATAGATACTGGCAGCTTCAGAGTCACTCTTATTTGCAGTTAGGTGTGTCGCTGGAATCTGTTAATGGAAAATAAAGTACACATTTCAAACATGTCTCCAGGCCTTCTCTCCCTCCACAAAAGTTTCTTAATGGTTTGCTTGTGCTGACTAGATCTATTCACACGCTCAGGGTTGTCAGTGTTTTGGATGGGTGTCAAAGTGGTCCACAATCATCCACTGAATCTGTATCTCTCTTCCCTTCCCTTGGGGGTGAGACTGACGTCTTAAATGAGCAACAACATTGGAATGGAGTTTCGAGAAAGAGCACACCGTACAGGTAATCACAAACTTTCAATCCATCTCTTATAAAGAAACAGTATATCATGTCAGTGCTAAATTCGGGGAGTCTATTCCCTTTCACCTGTTTAATGCAGATTAAATACTGTAATCCCCTAGTCTACCTACATTGCTCAATCTAATTAAAGACCCATAGCTCTCCTCTCAAACAGCTCCTTTTTGCTACCTTTAATATAAAGCATTAAACAATAAAGCACAGAAAGAGGCCATTTGTCCACTGGGTCTGTGCCATCTCTTTGAAAAATGTTTCAATTAGTCCCACATTCTCCACATATCATGCAAATTTCCTCAAAACATTTATTCAATTCTCTTGAAAATTACTATCGTATCTGGTTTTACTGCTGTTTCAGACAAAAAAAACTCATCTCCCTTTGGTACTTTTGACAAATCCTTTTTTTTTTTTTTAAAATCACCACGGCGTTTTTTGCCAGGAAACAAATTCCCCTTCTTTACTCTGTCTAAAGCACTCAACATTGAATCCCATTATTAAGTCTCCACTCAGTTTTCTCTCCACACGAAAAACAATTTTAGCATCAAACAAGTGCATTGAAATATTCCTGGTTATTTGCAAAGTTATATTACTATAGTACTGATGAGAAACAGGAGGTGCATTTCAATTACTGAAGTGAATACAGAGACACTTAAACTCACATTAAACAAGGTCAGCTTCTGCACCTGATCGAGGATCAGTGACCTGAGTGGGGAAATCACAACAGTGACTCCTTGGGTGAGACAAGCTGGCAGCTGGTAACACAAACTCTTACCACCACCTGAAACAGACAGACAGGACAAATCACAACATAGAAACACAGGCTAGGAGAATAATCTGCAACAAAGGGCTGCTGCGTAATGACTGTTTTCCAGAAGACCAGATGGTTTTCTGACATTTTTTTTTGCCACGTTTACCTTCCTCTGCAACACTGATGATAGAAAAGGGATTGGTCATGGTGACCTCCCAACATTAAACCTCCTATTACCACCAGTAATAATACTGATTACCCCTGTCATCACTTAACTTTTCCATTTGTGGGATAGGGATATACAGTTATAAAGGTCTATAGCACAGAAAAAGGCCCTACAGCCCATCAATGTTATTAAATGAAAACTGACTGTCACATACGCCTATATAACAATAGTAACTATAGTTATAAAAACAATTGTTTGGTTGTGAAGTGCTTTGGGATGTCCCAAAACTTTTTTACTTCTAACATGCCAGCCAAGTAATTGTCTCCACACGAATGACTTTCATAGTGTGTCACTGTGTATTTAATGTTGGGAGATCAAAGAAAGCCACAAACGAGCACTGGACTAGCAATGTTAACTCTTTTTCTCTCCACAGATGATGCCAGACTTCCTGAGTTGCTCCAGCACTTTGTTCGTTTCAAAGAAAGGCTCAATCTTACCTTGTTATGTTCATTGGGAATGGGGAGCTGGTTTGTGAGGGAGAGCATGCAGAGGTGTCACTGAATAACAGAGGTAGAGAGGTCAACAGCAGTGCTTCCACCACCATCTAACTAACTCAGAACAGATCAAGATCAAAGGAGGGTCTATTTTGCTCTGGAAGGCTCAATTACTCACTGAGCAAGACTCAGACCCATAAGCATTCTGCACACCATGATCATGTCAAGGCACCCAGGGGAAACAAAAGGCCTTTATCAACCAGCTATTGGGGGAGATATGCAATATTTTAATTATAACTGTTATAAAGGGATACCACAAACAGAATATACATGCACACAACAAATGAAGGGAAGAAAAACAACAGCATTCATTGGAAAGCACTGAAATGATATCTGTCACATTTAGGAGAACAATATACCAAGTAAGGCAGCATGCCTAAAGACACTAAGACGCCTGGGAGCAGCCCAGTTGTCATAGTACAGGCACTTACAACTGGAGCTATATTTGATCCTTGTATGTTTTATGACAGAAAGGCTCTTTAAATAAAATCATCTAATAAACATTTTATTTGATCATATCTTTTGGATAAGATATTGAATCTGGGGCCATGTTTTCCTTCCCCCAGTGTTTTAGCAAATATTTCTCTCTCAACCAGGTAACACTAAAACAAATTACCTGGTTATTATCACATTGGTACTTCTGAGAGCCCTGCTATATGCTCATTGAAATGTATGAAATGTGGCAGAAAACAGTGACTACCCTTTTAAAGCATGCTGATGCATACGAAACACACTGGGTCATCATAAGGCATGAAAGGCACCTTCAAAATCCAAGTAATTCTTATAAATGAATGTGAGGACAAGCTGTGAATGAGATGGTTAAACACCCTAGTGGAGTGTCTGTAGCAACATTCACACAGAACACTAGACAAACTGTGTTAGAATTTGCCATAAAATGATTCTCCCACCTTAAGGAAATAGATCTTGAGCAAACTGAATATCTTTAAATTAGCCACTTCCAGTGATAACGATTAAATATTTTAATTTAATTTGAAATACTGATTCAAGGTGAAGTCACCAAAATTGGAAATAGCTGGAAAGAAGTGGGAGATAATGATTTGGTGGCCCTCAATTGAGGTTTGCAAGAACATGTAGATGAGGATAGTGGAAGGGGAAGAGTTCCCTAGCTCAGAGATCCTGCAAAAGAATGGGTCAGACTTAGAGATGGTGTGATGGGGCTTAATTTCAACACCGTGGAGGAAACAGGATAAAATTTGAGTAAGGCAGGGCAAAAAGAAGATTGCGATGAATCATCAAGATTAGCAGAGAGAGGGGACTTGCATTTCCATAGCACCTTCGATAACCTCAGAATTTCCCAATGCACTTTTCAGCCAACGAAATGCTGTTACTGTTGTAATGCCGGAAGCTCAAGCAGCCAAATTGTGCACAAACTTCCACAAACAATAAAATAAATATATTGCCCAGAATTCCTCACGGCTTGTTTGAAGAGCAGCTGTGGAATCTGTTACATCAGCCTGGGTTGGCAGGCAACAGAGAAAGAAAAATAAACTCCGTTATGGACTTAAAATCAGTAATCAGAAATAAAGAAAATTAACTTCCATTTAGCTAGTGCCTTTGATATAATAAAAAATTCCAAATTATTTGAGCTACTTAATCCAGGATGTCTTGGGTACTTACCTGTGGGCATCAAGACAAAGCAGTCTTCGTTCAGCAGGGCGGCATTGATTGCTTCTAGCTGGTTTGTTCGGAACTGGTGCAGTCCAAATTTTTTGTGAAAGATACGCATCATCTCCTTGGAGTGTGGGAAATGGAAGCCACGGAAACGCTCCAGCACAGGATTTTTAGAATGTCCTTGCTCACGGGAAGCCCCTGATGAAAAAGTAACACATCAGCTCTTGCAGGGGTCCACTTAGAAGTCTAATACTTAGCGAGCATGATAGTGCATACAGGTGGACACAGATAAGCTGATGAAGTAGTATTTATGCCACACAATGACCATGCCCAATAAGAAAAAATCTAATCATCTTCCCTCGACATTTCTATTGCTAATCCCCCATTATCAACATTTTGGTGGTTATCAATGGAACGGAAACTGATCTGGACTAATCATATAAATACTGTGGCCTCATCAGCAGGTCAGAGGCTGAGAATTCTGTGGCAAGTAATTTACATGCTGACTCCACAAAACCTATCCACCACCTGCAAGGCACAAGCCAGGATGTAATGGAATGCATTGTGGATGAATGCAGCTCCCATGACACTCAAGAAGCTTGACAACATCCAGAACAAAGCAGCCTGCTTATTGGATCCCCATCCACAATCTTCAATGCTCCTTCCACCAATGATGCACCATGGCAGCATTGTGTATCATCTACAAGATGCAATGCAGCCACACACCAGCCCTTTCAACAGCATCTTCAAAACCAACAACGTCCAACAACCAGAAGGACAAGGCAGCAAATACATGGGAACATCACCACCTGCAAGCTCCCCTCCAAGCTACACAACATCCTGGCTTGCAAATACGTCAGTGTTCCTTCCCTGTGGATGGGTCAAATTCCAGGAACTCCTTTCCCCATAGCACTGTGGGTATTTGTTCACCACAGACTGAAGCAGTTCAATAACTGCTGGTCCAGCCTGCAATGTTGACATTCCAGCAATGACTATTAAAAGGAATAGGCCACACATGCTGAATAACATGAAGTCTTGCATTTTGAGAAAACAACATAAAGATCCTTCTGGTATAATCTAAATGGCATGATTTTGAGGGGCTGCATATTCAGAAATCAAGTGAAACAGTAAACTTCTAAAATAGTTAAGCATTTCGATATTTGGTATTATTAAGAAGGTCACAGAATACAAAGTCACGTTAGATTTTTAAAAATCACTGGTTAGGCCTCAAGCTAGAATATTTTGAGTGGCAGATTTCAGGAAGGATATTAAGACCTTGAAAAAAGGACAAGTGAGATTTCAGAACCCAGGTTTGTGTTGATCTTTAAGAGTCAAGCTACAGGAGGGACAGCACTGAATAAACAGCAGACGATACAGAAATAAAAATCTGATAACAGTGAGCGTGATGCTGTTAGATTGTCACACTAATAACCCAACTAGTTCAGTAATGTCCCTTTGGCAATGGCAATCTGTCCATTCTGGACTTTGTGACTCAGACCCTTACCAAACATGTTTGACACTTGTTTACATCAAACACTGAATACATATGTTTAAGCAGAGTGGCTATAGGCTGGGCAATCGGTTGCTAACGGTGCTCATATTCAAAGAAAGAATTAAAAGGAAGTGAGAGCACATAGTGAGCGGCAGAGGATTGGGATCATCTAAGGAGCATACGGTTGTAACAGCAGAGGGCTTGTCAGCAACTGAGGGCCTGGGCACAGTGTGAGTTAATGTTTTGGGTACATTAAGTTTGAAATATAATGACTGAACTACTTAATCAGGTATGTGTTTTAAACAAGGTCATTTGTTCTATTAGAAACCTTAAAGAGAACTTAAAGCTGGAACACTAGTTACCTGAGGAGTCCTGCAGTGCTTGGGGATTTTTGAAATTAGCAGTTGCAGAGGGACGAAATGTGCATTCATTGTCATCTTGAGCTGGAGCTGTTTTCCAGGCCTTCTTAGTTCCTCCCTCTCGGATTGGCTGAATTGCTACGTGTGACATGTTTACTGCAGGTTGACATGGTGAATTCAGAAAACATTCTGGGACTTCCTCTACATCTAAATCGTCAACGTCAAAGTCAAAGTTATCAATATCAAATTCGTCAAACATCGAATCCTCTTCAACCCTGCAGCTCCTACCGTTTTCAATGAGCAGCTTCTGATCGGCAGCAGAGTGTGTTCTTGCAGCAGATGCGTGTGTGGGTTTGTCCAAGTCACTTATGCTTTCAGCATCAGGAGATCCATATGAAATGCAGTTGAGTGAGGAATACCTGGACTGAGGGGCACTTGGTGGGGAGGCCTTGTTCCCTCCAATTGAGGAGTCCAGCTTCTTTCTTTGGAGACATGACTTACTGAGCAAGCTTTTGTAACTGTCAGATGTTGCACTCTTCCTCTCAGAAGTCCGAGCCATTGCAAAGAAATCATCAGTACTGAAAATATTATCTCTAGGCATGCCCATGGTCTTCAAGGAAGATTTCTTGAAGGTAAACGTTTTAGGAGAACCAGGTCCCTGGGATGAGTTAAAGGAGATAGGAGGAGTAGCACGATCTGTAGAAATATTACCCATCGCACTGCTCTGCTTGGATAATGTGGCAGCTGTTGAGATACCTCCATTTAGTGCGCTCTGTGATCCATTCTGATCAGCCAAAACTTTTCTCCTGGAAAGGAAAATCAAAATTCATTATACTGTCTGTTGTTGAGCTCCGAAGCAGTAACGGTCTGTGTGTAGGGCAAATAGTTGCCAAATATAGTACTGTATAGCTCTTAGTTATTCTAGACACAAAGCACAGACAATAAGTAGAACTTCTGCCTTATTCCTTTCTACCACTGGAGGGACATCCAGTCATTGCACAGTTCCAGGGACAGTAAAATAAAACACAACTCCCGATGCTGGAGATCAGAAACAAAAACAAGTGCTGTAGAAACTCAACAGGTCTGGCATCACCTGTGGAGAGAACAGTTAATATTTCAAGTTCAGTGATCCTTTGTCAGAACTGAAAGCAACTAGGAAAATGATGGTACTTATGTTGCTGCTGCTGATGATGATGGTGGGGGGGAAGGAACGAGTCGAATAGTTGAAAGCAGTTTCAAGAGAGAGAAAAAAAGGGAGGAGTAGACAAAAGGAATTGCTGATGATAAACTGGGAGATGTACAGAATGTGGAGCTGGGAATCTGCAAACAGAGACTGGGTGATCGCGTTGCAGAAGATTTCCACTCTGTCTGTGAAAATAACCACGAGCGTCCATATGCCTGCTACTTCAACATATCATGTTCCCACATTGACATTTTTGTCACAGGCCTGCTGTAGTTGTTCAGTGAAGCTCAACGCAATCGGGAGGGACACCTCATTTTCTGCATAGGTGACTAACAGCCCTCAGGACTCAAGAGTGGGTTTAACATTTTCACAGTGTGAACATCTTTCTCCATGTGCATGACCGACTGTCTGTATGGGTTACTCCCAGCACAGCCAACCCATTTTCAACTATTCAGACTTCTTGCTAGCAACCATTCAGTGCTTATCTCCAGAGTTATCATCTGCAATCCCTTTGTCTGCTTCTCCCTTTTTTCTCTCTCTGGACACCATCTCCATCTACTCAACTTATTCCTTCTCCTCCTTGCCACCAGCATAAATCCCACTTTCCCAGCTGTTTTGGCCGACTAGCAGAAGGCAGAGAGTAAGAATAAAGAGGTCTTTGTCAGGCAGATAGTGACTAGTGGAGTTCCATAGGGGTCCATGTTGGGGACCACAGCTATTCACATTATACATTAACGATCTGGATGAAGGAACTGACAGCATTGCTACTAAGTTTGCAGGTAGCGAGAGGTGGTGTTGAGGCAGTGGGGAGGCTGAAGGAGGACTTGGACAAGTTTGGACACTGGGCAATGAAATGGAAGAAGGAATACTGTACAATGTGGGTAAGTGTGAGCTTATGCACTTTGATGGGAAGAATAAAGGCGTAGACTATTTTCGAAATGGGGAAAGACTTTGGAAATCTGAGGCACAATGGGACTTAGGAATCCTAGTTCAGGATTCTCTTAAGGTTAACATGCCAATTCAGTTGGCAGTTAGGAAGGCAAATGCAATGTTAGCATTCATTTCAAGATGGCTACAACATAAGAGCAGAAATGTAGTGCTGAAGCTATAAAAGACTCTGGTCAGACCACATTTGGACTATGGTGAGCAGTTTTGGACCCTGTGTTTTAGGATTCAATTCTGGTCTCCCAGCTATAAGAAAGATTTGTGAAACATGAAAGGGTTCAGAAAAGACTTAAAAGGATGCTGCCGGGGTTGGAGGTTTTGAGCTAAAGGGAGAGGCTGGTTAGGCTGGTGCTATTTTCAATTGAAGCGTCGAGGGCTGAGGGGTGACCTTATAGAGGTTTGTAAAATCATGAGGGGCATGGATAGGGTGAATAGCCAAGATCTTTTCCCAAGGGTAGGGGAGTCCAAAACTAGAGGTCACAGGTTTAAGGTGAGAGGGGAAAGATTTAAAAGGGAGCTAAGCAGCAACTTTTTCATGCAGAAGGTAGTGTGTGTATGGAATGAGCTGCAAGAGGAGATGGTGAAGGCTGGTACAATTACAACATTTAAAAGACATCTGGATGGGTACATGAATAGGAAGGGTTTAGAGGGATATGGGCTAATTGCTGCAAGTGGGATTAGATTATCTGGTCGGCACGTATGCATTGGACTGAAGGGTCTGTTTCCGTGCTGTCATGTCTATGACTCTAAAGATGTGCTGGTGTTGGAAGGGGTCAGAGGTTTACAAGAATGATCCTGGGGAAGAAGGCCTTGTCATATGAGGAGCAGTTGAGGACGCTGGATCTGTACTCAGTGGAGTTTAGAAGGATGAGGGGATATCTAATCAAAATTTACAGAATATGGAGGCGCCTGGATAGAGTGGACATGGAGAAGATGTTTCCACTAGTAGGAGAGACTAGGACCCAAGGGTACAGCCTCGGAGTGAACGAATGACTCTTCAGAACTGAGATAAGGAGGAGTTTCTTCAGCCTGAGGGTGGTTAATCTGTGGAACTCATTGCTGCAAAGAGCTCTGGATGGAAGTCATTGAGTATATTTAAGACAGAAATAGATATGTTCTTCGTTGGTAAGGAGAGAAGGCAGGAGAATTAGGAATAGAAACATATCTGTCATGTTTGAATGGTTGAGCGGACTCAATGAGCTGAACAGCCTAATTCAGCTCCTTTATCTTATGGCTTTCAGTTCTGACTAAGCGTCAATGAACTCAAGGCATTAACTCAGCTTTTTCTATCCACAGATGTTGCCAGACCTGCTAAGTTTCTTCTCCAGCACTGTGGTGGCACAGTGGTTAGCACTGCTGCCTCACAGCACCACGGGACCCAGGTTCAATTCCACTCTTGGCTGACTGTCTGCGTTGAGTTTGCACATTCTCCCAGTGTCTGTGTGGGTTTCCTCCTGGTGCTCCGGTTTCCTCGCACAGTCCAAAAATGTGCAGGTTAGGTGGGTTCGCCATGCTAAATTGCCCATGGTGTCTGGAGGTGTGCAGGTTAGCCATGAGAAATGCAGGAGTAGGATAGGGTAGGGAGGTGGGTCTGGGTAGGAGGGTCTTCATAGGGTCAGCATGGACTCAAAAGGCTGAATGGCCTGCTTCCACACTGCGGGGATTCTATGATTCACTTTCCATTTTTAACTGGCTGAACACGTTGATAGATTTTGATGAATTTTTGATGGTGTAAGTTTCAACTAGACAGGAAATCATTGACCAAGATGTACAGACAACGCACAGTCCCATTCTAAAACAGTATATTCTGTCATTGCTTTTGCATTCCATTATAAGCTCCCATGCCCATGTTTATAATGGAATATGTTACTAAAAAGTGCATCAAAAGCTTAGGTTCTAAATATTTTATTTCATCAAGGCAATTATTAACAATGTGCATTTACATAGCACCTTTAATGTTGTAAAATATTCCACGTGATTCACAGGAGCATTAGATAAGAACTGGCAAATTAGCAAAGGAGATATTGGAATAAGTGACTAATCATTTGATCAAAGAAGTAGGTGCTTGCAGTGAAACATGTGGTGAAATCCCAAAGCATAAGCATCAAAAAGCCAAACCATTAATAGTGAAACAAAGGAAGTAGGGATCTGAAACCAGCCAGAACAGGGGTGGCACAGTGGCTCAGTGGTTAGCACTGCTGCCTCACAGTGCCAGGGACCCGGGTTCAATTTCAGTTCCTTGGGGGACTGTCTGTATGGAGTTTGCATATTCTCCCTGTGTCTGTGTGGGTTTCCTCCGGGTGCTCCGGTTTCCTCCTGCAGTCCAAAGATGTGCAGGTTAGGTGGATTGGCCATGCTAAATTGTAGTATTCAGGGATGTGTAGATTAGGTGGGTTATAGGGGGATGGGTCTGGGTGGGATGCTCTGTGGGTCGGTGTGGACTTGTTGTGCCAAAGGGCCTGTTTCCACACTATCAGGATTCTATGAAATCTATAAGAGTAAAGAAATGCACAGATTTTGAAAGGCTGTAAGACTGGCAAAGGTTACAGAGATAGCAAGTGTTAACTGTATATTTGTATTTTATTGTTTGCAGGTGATAAGATATTAACTGGAGAATTCATTTGAACCCCTAAAAATAACATACAGAGAAACTTTAGGTTGCTATGTTAACCCACTTGCATTCATACCTCCAGAGCAGATAGGACCTTAATCCAGACCTTCTAGCTCAACTGCGCCATGAGGTTAGGAGGTATACGAGTATAATGGTCAACTCTGTACATAAATATAAAAGTGTGTAAAGACTGGCTCCAGATCTAAAGATTGGCTTTCTGGAGCAAAACAGGAAGGGATGAGCATCTGGGGATTTGAAAAACAGAATGAGAACATTAAAATCAAGACGTTTTGCAGGTTCGGAGTCTATGTAGGTCAGCTGGCAGATGGAAGATAGGCTATCAGGGTTTTGTGCAAATTACCAAATAGGGAGGAGAGTTTTGAACAATTTGAAGTTTATAGAAGGTGCAAGATGCGAAGCTGGCCATGAACACTTACCTGAGCTCTCTCTGCTGAAGCAGTTGACTTGCACAGGACAGAAGCTGCAGTTCACTCACAGGAATCTGATCAACCAAGCTACAGATATTTTCCATTACTTGAATCAACTGCTTGCTGTAGCCCACCGGTGTGTCTGTTTCATTTCAAAATGTGCAAAATTGGTGTCTTAAATATACACAATTCTCAAGTTTAAATATTCAAACATCTAGCCAGCAGATCTGAAATCTGTCACCAAGAAAAAGGGCTTTTTTTAAAAAACATTTTGGGACCCATCTGATCAAACATGAAACTACCAGGAATGCCAAACAGGTAACTGTATGGGAAACCTCTACACCTCAACCTGTCAGGTTGCTTTTCAGGATTCATGTCAAACTTGCTCTCACATGGAGTAAACGAGGCAAATAGCACAGATGCATTTAAGGAGAAGCTTGACAATTAGAGGGGAGAAAGGAACAGAGAAAGCATATAACGATAGGGTGAGCTGAGGATGGGAGGTAGTTCATGTTGAACAGTTGGGCTGAATGGCCTGTCCACAAGCTGTAAATAACATGTAATTTTCACTATTCCCTGGCTAAAGCAGTTTCTCCTAAATTTCTTACTGGATTTAATACAAAAGTAATTAATAATCTTACTAGCCAATATCCTTTGACAATGAGCATTGGAGTCAAGACTAGATGACTTTTTATAACCAATATAAATGGTTGATGAGAAGTACAGCATGCAGGCTTAATGCAGTACCCATTTTAAAATCTTTATTTTACTATTTCTATCACAAATTTCTGTGTTGAGATTTGGAATGTGAATTGCCCGTTTAGCTGGTAACCCTGTAATTACATCCTTCCTCCAATGGCAGTTCCTATTACAAAGGGCACTGGACATAGGAATTCATTAAAAATGTTAACAGCAAGGAAATGTAGAATATAAAGACATTTTAATGTAGAATCTTAGAATGTTTACAGAAGGAGGCCATTCAGGCCACTGTATCGCCACTGGCTCTGCAACAGCAACTCATCTAGTCCTGTTCCCTTGCTCCTTTCCTGTGGCCCTGCAAACTGTTGTCTTCTGACAAGTATTCAATTCCCTTTTGAAATTGACAATAAACCTACCTCCAGCACACACTCAGACAGAGCATTTCAGACCCTAATGGCTTGCCCCATGAAAAAACTTTTCCTCACGATGCCATTGTTTCTCTGCCAGTATTAAGTTGGGATTCTCGATCTTTCAGCAAATGGCAAGCTTCCTCAATCTACTCTGCCCAGACTGCTCATAATTTTGAGCACCTCTCTCAAATATCCTCACAATCATATCTTCTCTAAGGAGAATAAACCTAGCTTTGTTAATCTATTCAGTCATGCTGTGGTATCTTATGCCTTGATTTATGAAGCCCAGAATCCTGTAAGACTTTTTAAGCACTTTCGCAACCTACAAAAGGACAGAGTCTCAGCTAGCTCATCTTACCTTTATCTGTTGCATTATTTGATGTATGCACTGGTCCTTTGCTGTGTTCCTTTTCTTCTGGCTGTAAACAAGTCAAGGAAATAGATCTTTCTCTGGACTGCACAGTCTCTGCTGAGTCACTGTGGACAGAGATTTTATCAATAAATGATTATAATGAAGAACACAGCTGTCCAGAAATGATCAAGTTTTCCTAGTTCTATAATCATCCATGTTGGAAAACCAGCAGCAGCAATAAGCTGCAAGATAATAAATGCTAAACTTAACATTTACACCAGGTACACAATTATCCAGCAAACGTGGAGGATTTTTGCAATGACTGTGAACCAGTTAAAGGTCAAATGGTACAGAAAAGGGGTTTGTGGATGACAGCCATCTTTTGTGCCATTGACATGCATTTGTGGGTCTGTGAAAAGCTAACTCAACCTGCCTACAAGCTGATTCCACTTCACTTAACTGGGATGAGGAATCATAGATTCATTATCCGCTACCATCAAGGGTAGACAGGTACCACCAACTTATGACCCTCAGACATGGTGCTACAGTGCTCATTTTTAAAAAAAAATTTGCAACTTTTCAAAACTACTCCATCAATAACTCCCCATACTTCATCAGTAGCTGTGACCTTTACTCCCTTACCTTACACGCTGGAATTTAGTCTCCGGAGCTCCACACCACCTGCTTCACCTTAAAACAATTCTCTTTATGCGAATCAGGATTGATAATCTACCTGTCGTACTTCTGATATGGGCCCTGAGATTTTTCACTATGTCTAAGGCATTCTATGAGGGGAGACAATGGTCTAGTGGCATTATCTCTGGACTGTTAATCCAGAGACCCAGATAACATTCTGGGGACCAGGGTTCGAATTTCATCATGGCGGATGGTGGAATTTGAATTCAATAAATATCTGACATTAAGAATCTAATGATGACCGTGAATCCATTGTTGATTGTTGGGAAAAACCCATCTGGTTCATTACTGTCCTTTACGGAAGGAAACTGCCATCCTTGTCTGGTCTGGCCTATATGTGACTCCAGACCCATAGCAATGTGTTGACTCTTAACTGCCCTCTGGGCAATTAGGGATGGGCAATAAATGCTGCCTAGCCAGCAATGCCCTCAACCTGCGAATGAATAAAAAAGGAAATGGCAAATAAATCCGTTCTTTACTTCATTACAGATGGAAGAGATTTAGGAAAGTAGCAATATTTAGAAACATAGAAAACAGGTGCAGGAGTAGACTGTTCAGCCCCTTCAAGCCTGCATCACCATTCAATACGATCATGGCTGATCATGGAATCTCAATATCCCATTCCCACCCTCTCTCCCCATGTCCCTTGATCCCTTTAGCCGTAAAGGCCACATCCAGCTCCCTCTCGAATATATCTAATGATCTGGCCCTAACAGCTTCCTGTGGGAGGGAATTCCACAGGTTCACAACTCTGAATGAAGAAATTCTTCTTCATCTCAGTCCTGAATGGCTTACACCTTATTATTAGACTGTGACTCCTTGTTCTGGACTTGCCCAACATCAGGAACATTCTTCCCACATCGAGCCTGTTCAGTCCCATCAGGATTTTATTTCTTTCTACGAGATCCCCCTCATTCTTCTAAATTCCAGCGAATACACACCCAGTCGATCCAGTCTTTCCTCATAATGTCAGTCCTGTCATTCCGGGAATCAGTCTGGTGAACCTTTGTTGGACTCCCTAATAGTAAGAATGTCCTTCCTCAAACTAGGAGACCAAAACTGCGCACAATACTCAAGGAGTGGCCTCACCAAGGCCCTGTATAACTGCAGCAAGGCACACTTACTCCGATACTCAAATCCTCTCGCTATGAAGGCCAGCATGCCATTAGCTTTTCTCACTGCCTGCTGCACCTACATGCCAAATCTTCAGTGACTGTTCAACCGTGACACCCAGGTCTCATTGCACTTCACCTTTTCCTAAACTGCCACCATTCAGATAATAATCTGCCTTCCTGTTTTTGTGACCAAAGTGAATAACCTCACATTTATCCACATTATATTGCATTTGCCAAGTATTTGCCCACTCAGCCAGTCTGTCCAAGTTACCCTGCAGCTTCTTAACATCCCCCTCACAGCACACAATGCCACCCAGCTTAGGGTCATCTACAAATTTGGAGGCATGGCGTTCAATTCCTTCATCCAAATTGTTAAAGTATATTGTGAACAGCTGGGGTCCCAGCATTGCACCCTGCGACACCGTCACTGCGTGCTACTCTGAAACGCACCCGTTTATTCCAATTCGCTGCTTCCTGTGCTCTACCCATGTGAATACATTACCTCTGATACCATAAGCTTTAATTTTCTTTATTGATCTCGTGTAGAACCTTGTCAAAAGTCTTTTGAAAGTGCAGATACACAACATCTACTGATTCACCATTGTCTACTCTACTGTCACATTCTCAAAAAATCCACAAGATTTGTCAAGTATGATTTCACTTTAGTGAATCCATGCTGATTAGGACCGATTCTGTCCCCGTTTTCCAAATGCTCAGTTATTACATTCTTAATGATTGACTCCAGCATTTTCCCCACCACCGATGTCAGGCTAACCGGCCTATAATTCACCATTTTCTCTCTCCCTCCTTTTTTAAAGAGTGGAGTTGGCTACCCTCCAGTCCATTGGAACTTTTCCAGATTGTACAGAATGCTGGAAAAATGATCACCAATGCACCCGCTTTTTCTAGGGCCACTTCCTTAAGTACTCTGGGATGCAGAGCACCAGGCCCTGGGGGCTTGTCAGGTTTAAATCCCATTAATTTCCCTAATACCATTTCCTGATTAATAAGGATTTCCTTCAGTTTCTCCTTCATGCTTGACCCTCTGTTCCCTAACATTTCTTGAAGGTTATTTTTAGTCTCCTCAGTGAAAACAGATCCAAAAGTATTTGTTCAACTAGCCTGCCATCTCTTTGTTGTCCATTATGAATTCACCTGATTCTAACTGCAAGGGATCTATATTTGTCATCACTGGTCTTTTTCTTTTCACATATCTGTAGAAGCTTTTGCAGTCAGTTTTTATGTTTTCTGCAAGCTTACTTTCATATTCTATTTTCCATTTCCATATTAAATCCTTTGTCCTCCTCTGCCGAATTTTAAATTTTTCCCAGTCCTTGGGTTTGTTGCTTTTTCTGGCCCAATTTATATGCCTCCTCTTTGGCTTTAACAGTGTCCCTGATTTCCCTTGTTAGCCATTGTTGAGTTACCTTCCCCGTTTTATTCTTATGCCAGACAGAGATGTACAATTGTTGAAGTTCATCCACGTATTCTTTAAACATCTGCCATTGTTTATCCACTGTCAACCTCTTAAGTATCCTTGGCCAGTTTATCCTAGCCAATGCATGCCTCATAGCATCTAGCTTGAGATCAGGATCCCAATTCTCAGAAAATGCCCTGCATCTCTGGAGATGTAGTTTATTTGGCAGATTCTTGGACTGTCTACAATGGTATTATGCTATAGATACTAGAAAACCTCAAGTTTTGATAATTGGGTTCAATATCTGATCTGTCACCTGATCTTAAGTGGAATAGCAAAGAAAGAACCAACAGTTGGTCTCTGCACTGCTAGGACTAGATTTCTTGCTGCTGTTAGTTCCACACTGTGTATGTAGGGATGCAGAACACAAAGTGGGGCCCAACTTTAGTCCCCCCTGCAGTTACACAGCAGAGCAAAGACTTACTACAAATTCCATGCATAAAGAATGGATACTTGGGTGATGTTTGAAAGGGTTCAGGCACTGGTCTTGTCTGTGACAAAAGCTGGTGCCCTCAAGAAAAGGTAGATCAAGATACTGTTTCAAAACCAGAAGATGAAGACATGGTTGACCTTGGAGACGTACCTGAGCCCAAGGATGTGTCAAGAAGTTAAATTAACTTGCACAATGCACCTTGCAGGAGGTGGGTGATACACCACAGAAAGTAGCTGCTTGGAAAAGTCAGCAACATTTGCTTATCGCCTGGGCTGGGTTCAAATCTTATGCCAGGACTTCAGACTCTAACTTCAAACAATACTCCAGCGCACGGTCTTACATAGCTACAATTCAAGACCTTCCATTCAACATTCTGCCATTCAACATGTTCAAGGTCATGCTGCTACTTTGCAAGGAGTGTCTGACCCATTTCCTGCCCCTCTTCCCCTCCCTCCCAGAACCACCTCTGGTTCCTCTTCACCTGACTTTCTATATTACCGGTCTTCACATTCAAAGGATCATCCTCCATCACATTCAGCAGGATACCACCACTAAACACATCTTTCTGTGCCTACCTTGTCAGCATTCTGTAGGAATCATTCCCTCTGTGACAACCTAGTTCACTCCTAATGCTTCGTCACACCCAGGACACCATCCGATACAACTGCAAGTATAAAATCTGCCCTTTTACCTCTTCCTTCCTCACTGTCCAGAGCCCCGATCACTCCTTCAAGGTGAAGCAGCAATTTACTTGCACTTCTTTCAATCCAGTCTGCTGTATTCGCTGCAAACACTGCAGTCTCCTCTACAGTGGTGAGGCCAAATGCAGATGGGTGAGTGCTTTGCAGAACATCTCCATTCTGTAAGAACAACCCCAACCTTCTGGTTGCTTGTCCTTCCAATACACTTGCATATCCCATACTAACAATTCCATCCTAGGCCTGCTGCAGTGTTCCAACAAAGTCCAATTTAAGCTGGAGGAACAGCACCTCATAGGCCACCTAGACACTTTACAGCCTTCAGGACTCAGCATTGAGTTCAACAATTTCAGACTGTGAACACTGTCCTATATTTTGATTACATCCATTTCCCTCCCACCAAAGCCAACCTGTATTTGACTATTCATGACTGTCATTAATACCTATTTTGTATCAGGCACACTCCTTCACTAATAACAGTGCTTCCTTTGTCTTTTGCTCTGGGCACCCGCACCATCTGCTCCACTTGATCCTCCTCCCCTTTAAGCAACATTTTCCAACCCTATTCAGTTCTGAAGAGAAGTCATGTAACTCAAAATGTTAACTCTGTTTCTATTACAACAGATTCTGCCAGACCTGCTGAGTTTATCCAACAAAATATCCAATGATATTTTGCTTTTATTTGAGGGAAATGACAGTGAAGGAAATCAGGTGAATTCAAGTCAAATCACATTCAGAAAATGACATAAAGAAATGGAGCAGTTTGGATAAGAGAAAAAGAGTGACAGAAAGAAAAAAACAAGAAAAAAGCTTAAAATCTCTAAGAACAGTTCACTAGCTCCAGAAACGAGATGCCGTGGTTTAAATTGTTCCCACTCTGAGCCAAAGTGGTTGCTTGGTTTTGCAGGAATATAAATACCTACTTTGTTAAATACTACACTAACTTTAAGTGGTTTTGAAACTTCAGGGAAGCTGAGGGCAAGCTGCCATTTTTGAGACTATTGATGGAGTGCCTCAAATTGTCCATCAACTTGTGGTGATTCTAGCTCATTGGGTGTCTCCTCCTTGCCACAAGCTGCTGGGTGATTTATACAGTAACAACAGCAAAGGCCATTAAACTCTGTCACTTTGGCAGCTAATTCTACTTTAAAATGATACATTCTGTAACTGAGGAAAGTCACTCAGTGAAAACGATCAGAACAATACACTCCTAGCCACAGGATGTCTCTTCCCTCACATACTGTACTGTAAATACAATTGCTTATAACAGGCAAACCTGAGACATTTTATGAACGATGGCAGAGAAAGCTGATCACTTTCAGGAGACGGCGGAATACAATCAGACTCATAACCCTCATTCTCCGGCTCTCTGGATTGCGTGCAAGCCGTGGGAATGGTATCCAGCTGCGGCTGTGGCTGATTGCTTAGGAAGCTGTCAGCATCCGTTAGGTCAACTAAATGAATCGTAAAAAAAAATTAATATGCAGGTACAGCAAGCAATTAGGAGGATCAATAGTACAGTAATCTTTATCACCAGGGAATTGGTACAAGAACGAGAAAGCATTGCTGCCATAGTATTGGGCTTTGGTGAGACCACATCTGGAATACTGTGTAATTTTGTCTCCTTTCTCAAGGAATGATTTTTGCCTTAGCAGGGATAACACAAAAGTTCATTAAGTTGAATCCTGGACAAGGGAGCTTTACTAGAAGTAGAGATTGTATGGAATGGGCCTATATTCTCCATGATTAGCTAGAACGAGAGATGCTCTCATTGAAATTTGTAGGATTCTTGGAGGCTTTGACAGGATTGATGCAGGAAGACCACTTCTCCAGCTGTTGCGTCTAGAACACAGCATCATAAGGGGTAGGCCATTTAAGACTGAGATGAGAAGGAATTTCTTCACTTAGTAAAATCATAGAGGTCCACAACACAGAAAAATTCCCTTTAGCCCATCGAGTCTGCGCTGGACAAAAACAAGCACCTGTGATGATACTCTGCCTGTAAGAGGTGTATTTTATCCTGGTTTTTTTAATTAAATGAAGAAGGGTTAAGTCAGAGGTGAAAAGCAGTCTGTTCCAAAGCCAATAAGGTAAACAGCTTGTGAGGCCTTGGGTTTTTAAAAAAAAATTGGAATAGAAGCAGCCTGAATAGATGGGGTCAAGCTCCCACAGAACCAAGATTTTTAATGAGAGACAACAAGGTGCAGAGCTGGATGAACTCAGCAGGCCAAGCAGCATCATAGGAGCAGAGAGGCTAAGATTTTTAATTTTAGTTTTTCAGTACCAGTTGCTGCTGAGGTCTTGAAGCTGGGTGTGGAAGCTGTTCTTCCTATCTCTGTTACAGCTAAAAGCTGGAGTTCTCTTCCTGCTGCTAGAATTGCATGTGAGACAATCTCTTTTTCAGAATTTGCCTTTGCCAAGGGTGTGTTTATGAGATGTTACTATATTGGAACAGTTGCTGTTTAGTAGTTAAATAATCTATTAAGTTTTTCAATAGAGCTAAATTATTCCAATTTCTTCTTTCTTTTGGAGATAGTAGGAAGTAGTAGGATTTCTGAACAAGGGTCTAGGCCCGAAACGTCAGCTTTCCTGCTCCTCTGATGCGGCTTGGCCTGCTGCATTCATCCAGCTCTACACCTTGTTATGTCTCTTCTTTCTTTTGTTGTATTTTAACTGAAGTGTATGAATAAAGTGAATCTTGCTCCAAGGTTGGCAGTTTGACCCATTGAATTGCATCTGGAATGCAATGCCTGGCACTTGCCTTTAAAATAAGAAAAAGTTAGGGTTTAGGCTATTTTCTTAATGTTTTGAGGGGAAGGCGTCAGTCTGGTCCATAATGCACCTAACTACTCTCATATCATTTCCAGCACTTATTGTGAATATTTGAAATTCTCCACTCCAGACAACTGTGGGTGCTCAGTCATTGCATATATTCTCGATTGAGATTAATAGATTTTTGGATATTAAGGGAGTTAAGGGATAGCAGGATAGGGCAGGAAAGTGGATTTCAGTTCAAAACTCAGCTAGGATTAGTGAATGATGGAGCAGGATCAATAAACTATATAGTCTAATCTTATTTCTTATGTTACAACTGATAAACAGAATATAATTACAACGTGTCTACAAAAAACTACTTTAATGTGAAATCCATTGGCTTTTTTAGGCTAGTTACAGCTAGGCAACAACTTATATTTCCACAACTTTTCACAGGATAAAAACAACTCAAAGAGCTTCACAAGTGTGTAATAAAACTAAATTTGACATCAAGTCACATAAGAGATTATTAAATTTGCTTCAAGAGATGTGAAGTGGTTGGAATAAGGCAATGAGTTCTAGAGTTTAAGATCCACATAACAGAAAGCATGGCAGCCAATAGTGATTAAATTTAGGGATGCTGCAGAGGCCAAAATTGAAAGCGCGCAGAAATATTGTAGGACTGGAGGAGGCTAAAGAGAGACGAAACCACAATAGGATTTGAAAATATACATGTTGTTTGATCAGGCACCAGTTTGAGTCAGCAGACATACTGCTGATGGGATTTGGTGTCAAGATATGGGAAGCAGCTTTGTATAAGCTTGAATTCAAAAGAGAATGCAAGGTGGGAGGCTGAAATAGTCCATAGATCAATATTAAGTGGCTTTGTCAGAGAGAAGGGTCTTCAGATGAAAACACGGGGATTCAGGTACATTGTTGTTTGAAAGTTGCATCACAGGCATGGTGGTTAAGAAGGGGTTTAGCATGCTTGCCTTCATTGCTCATACCTTCAAGTATGGGAATTGGGATGTCATGTTGAGATTGTACACTACATTGGTGAGGCCACTTTTGGAGTACTGTGTACAATTCTGGTCACCCTGCTCAAGGGGGGATATTATCTAATTGGAGAGAGTTCAGACAAGATTTACTAAGATGTTGCTGAGACTGGAGGGTTTGAGTTATAAGGAGAGGCTGGATAAGCTGGAACTTTTCTCACTGGATCATAGGAGACTGAGGATCACCCTTATAGAGATTTATAAAATCAGGAGGGGCATAGATAAGGAAGTAGCAAAGGGCTTTTCCCTAGAGTGAGGGAATGCAAAACTAGGGGCATATTGTTAAGGTGAGAGGAGAAAGATTTAAAAGGGACAATAGGGCAATTTTTTCATACAGAGGGTGGTTTGTACGTGGAATGAAACTGTCACAAGAAGTGGTAGATGCAGAGACAGTTAAAACATTTAAAAGTGTGCATAGCTCTTTTTTTTTTAGAAAGACTAAATACAAAATCTCTGCATGTAAATTAGGCAATAATTTGATTTCACAGGCAAGGGTAGTTTGTAGATATTATGTCCACTGGTTTTGGACTTGCAAATAAGTACCCAGCAGTTTAAAGATTAGCAATCTTTAACTTGTTCTTTTAGCCTCCTTGAAGCAATTTTCTAATTCTTGACAATTCCAAACAATAAAATAAAGTTAATCTTACTTTTCTCTTCTCCATCCTCCTTCTTGCTACCATCTGACTCATCATCACTCAAGATGATCCTTGCAGCTGAAGAGGAGCTTTTCCTCCTTGAAGGGAAAGACTTGATGCAATCTTCATCATCACTCTGGGGCCACTCCCTTTGGGAACTGCCCAGACAGATGACAGTATTGTTCACATCCTTTAACTCTGCACCAGGTTCTCTTGGAGACAGTCTAGCTGTATTGTCCTTGGCCTCTTCACCAGCAGCACTTTTCAAATGCTGATCATTCCCAGTTTTGGGAGAAGTCAGTCCACTGGAATTTATATTCTTAAGATTACAAGTTTTTTGCACTGGTTGCTCTGTGGTTGAAAATGAAGTTGCTTTCAAACTACTGCTTTCTTTCCATGGCGTTTCAAAATCATCCAGATCGTCCCAGTCATCCAGGTTAATAACAGACTGCTCAGGGTCAAGCTTCTGAGAAACAGGACTGGTTATTGCTCCATGCCTCAGAGCTGGGGAACTGCATAACAAAGGAAGAGCTGTCCGTGAGGTCAATTCTGACTGCTTGGCAGTTTGTTTCAAGATGTTATTGATTTTTGGTTGCTGCTCCTTAGGTTTTGTTGAGTGTACATTTAATTGTGGCTTACCCACGGTCACATTTTTTTTGAAAGCATTCACATCTCTGTCCTTCAGCACACAGGTACTGTTTACTCCTTGGAAACTGGGTGTTCCAACAGTGCCTGGGGGAATCTTTTTAAACGTGAATGTCCTGTCAATAATGAAATAAATTCAAATGTAAATCCTGTTTGGAACAGTGCTGATTTTCCATGATATTAATTCTAAGTAAACTTTAAAATGGTTAAGCAAGATATTACTTCCATTTTGCTTTCCCTTCTCTTTTTAAAAGAAAATTTGTTTGCACGATGTGGGAATTCTTGGAAAGCCAGCTTTACAGCCCATTCAGGTTGCCCTCAAGGATCCAAACATTGCATCTTGACATTTAACAGCATTACTATCTCAAAATCCCTAACGACAAACACTGTGGGGCTCACCACTGACCAGAAACTAACTGGACCAGCTATATAAACACTATGGCTACACAGCAGCTTAGAAACTGGAAATTCTGCAGCACATAACTCATCTCAACTTCCTAAAGTGTTTCCACTACCTAAAAGGCACAAGTTAGGAACCCATAATAGAATATTCTGTGTTTGTCTGGATAAGAGAAGGTCCAACAATAAGCAAGGAGCTTGATACTATCCAGAACAAAACAGCCCACCTGACTGGCACCCATCCACCACCTTTAGTATTCACATTTACTGCCACCAATGCACAATGGCAGCAGTGTGTATCATCAACAAAATGCATTGCATCAACATATCACTGCTCCTTTGACAACACCTTTCAATCTGCAACCACCAATTCTCAGAAAGACAAAGGGCACCGCCTCCACGCTTACTTCTTTAACCGTGAACCTAACCCTCCCTCTACTGACCCCTTCTCCCGCTTCCAACACACCCCCTCCTCCTGGACACCACCCCAAGGCCTCCTACCCTCCCTCGACCTCTTCACCTCCAACTGCCGTCGAGACATCAATCGCCTCAACCTCTCCACCCCTCTCACCCACTCCAACCTCTCCCCCGCAGAACGTGCAGCCCTCCGCTCCAATCCCAACCTCACCATAAAACCCGCGGACAAGGGAGGCGCAGTTGTAGTATGGCGCACTGACCTCTACATCGTCGAGGCCAGACGCCAACTCTCCGACACCTCCTCCTACCGCCCCCTTGATCATGACCCCACCCCTGAACACCAAACCATCATCTCACAAACTATCCACAACCTCATCACCTCAGGTGACCTCCCACCCACGGCCTCCAACCTCATCGTTCCCCAACCTTGCACTGCCCGCTTCTATCTCCTTCCCAAAATCCACAAACCTGAATGCCCTGGTCGACCCATTGTCTCCGCCTGCTCCTGCCCCACCGAACTGATCTCCAACTATCTAGACTCCATTTTCTCCCCCTTGGTCCAGGAACTCCCTACCTATGTCCGTGACACCACCCACGCCCTCCACCTCCTCCAGAACTTCCAATTCCCCGGTCCCCAACACCTCATCTTTACCATGGACGTCCAGTCCCTCTACACCTGCATTCCCCATGCAGATGGCCTTAAGGCCCTCCGCTTCTTCCTGTCCCGCAGGCCCGACCAGTCCCCCTCCACTGATACCCTCATCCGCTTAGCCGAACTCGTCCTCACACTCAACAACTTCTCTTTCAATTCCTCCCACTTCCTACAGACAAAGGGGGTAGCCATGGGTACCCGCATGGGCCCAAGCTACGCCTGCCTCTTTGTAGGTTACGTGGAACAATCCCTCTTCCGTACCTACACCGGCCCTAAACCCCACCTCTTCCTCCGTTACATTGATGACTGTATCGGCGCCGCCTCGTGCTCCCACGAGGAGCTTGAACAGTTTATCCACTTCACCAACAACTTCCACCCCAACCTTAAGTTCACCTGGACCATCTCCAATACCTCTCTGTCCTTCCTGGACCTCTCTGTCTCCATCTCTGGCAACCACCTGGAAACCGATATCCATTTCAAGCCCACCGACTCCCACAGCTACCTAGAATACACCTCCTCCCACCCACCTTCCTGCAAAAATGCCATACCCTATTCCCAATTCCTTCACCTCTGCCGCATCTGCTCCCAGGATGAGGCATTACACTCCCGAACATCTCATATGTCCTCGTTTTTCAAGGACCGCAACTTAGCCCCCTCAGTGGTCGAGAACGCCTTAGACCATGTCTCCGGCATTTCCCGCAACTCATCCCTCACACCCACTCCCCACAATAACAACCAAAACAGAATCTCCCTCGTCCTCACGTACCACCCCACCAACCTCCGGATCCAACGCATCATCCTGCGACTTTCCGCCATCTGCAATTCGACCCCACCACCAAAGACATTTTTCCCTCCCCACCCTTATCTGCTTTCTGGAGGGACCACTCTCTCCGTGACTCCCTGGTCAGCTCCACACTCCCCTCCAGCCCCACCACACCCGGCACTTTTCCCTGCAACCGCAGGAAGTGCTACACCTGCCCCACACCTCCCCCCTCACCCCCATCCCAGGCCCCAAGAAGACTTTCCACATCAAGCAGATGTTCACCTGCACATCTGCTAATGTGGTATATTGTATCCGTTGTTTTCGTTGTGGCCTCCTCTACATCGAGGGAGCCAAGCGGAACACCTACGCTCGGTTCGCACTAAACAACTGCACCTCCCAGTCGCGAACCATTTCAACTCCCCCTCCCATTCCTCAGATGACATGTCCATCCTGGGCCTCCTGCAGTGCCACAACGATGCCACCCAAAGGTTGCAGGAACAGCAACTCATATTCCGCTTGGGAACCCTGCAGCCCAATGGTATCAATGTGGACTTCACAAGCTTCAAAATCTCCCCTCCCTCTACCGCATCCCAAAACCAGCCCAGCTCGTCCCCGCCTCCCTAACCTGTCCTTCCTCCCACCTATTCCCTCCTCCCACCTC